ATATACCCCAATAATACAAGAATACTTTATAAATATCTATTATATATAAAAACCTTGTACGCTTGTGTGAAAAAAATGAAGAAGAATAATCAAAATATAGTGCCATCAAAACTGTTGCATATGTGTAATTTAATTTTTTTGTAGAAATAAACCTCTTCTATATCTTATTAATCTTATAAAAAAAACTACTTTTATATCTAATTTCTCCCCTCATATATATAAAATTGTCTTGATCTTCGTGCTATAGATAAAAAAACAAAATATCTCACCAATTTGCTTTATTAAGATACAAAATCTCATGTAAAAAAAATGACATTTCGATAATAAACTATAACAATGTATAGTTTAATAGCTAATATATAATTTTAAAATATATTTTATATAAAAGATATAAAAGATTGAAAAAAGATTTGTTTTCTTTTGAAAAAATTTATTATAAAATTATATATATATATCTTATAGTTAAGTACATATTCAACACTACTACATACTCGAACAATCTTTTTGTAACAACTACAGACGCAAATAGCTAACATATAAAGGAGTGTGAACAAACATTAAAAGAATATCCTGCAAACGCAAATAGGACGTAACTATACATGTCATAAATGTTCAATGAAGTAGTTTTTAAGCGATGTTACCTTTATACGTAGGAACACTACGCTGATCGACACATATTTGAGCGAGTATAATATAATTTACATTACAAAACTTTCTCAAGTCAGAACATATTCATAATGCAATACAATGTTGCAAGTTACGAAAATCGTGTTCGTCTTTCCGTAACACTTTATATTTACATCACAACGTGAAATTAAGTTAGAATTGCATTGACTGATGGCGACACAATAACTTATAATTGATTTATGATCAGTCCATGAAAAAATAAGATTACAGGTAGATCTCGAGATAATAATAGTAAATAATATAGTGTCTGTATATAGGACTTAACTCTTTGATTGTGTATTTTCTACATAATTATAGGGGCTTAGATTGAATTCTTTCATTTCAAGATCTAATCTCTGCTTTTTTTTTATGTATCCAAATTTACAAATCAATATGAATGTAAAAGCACACTTTAAAATATTCGAAGTGTTGTCAAGAGAAGGTAAAATGGTAAAGATAAAAAGGAAATATTTTTCAAAATAAGGTAATTAGTCTCACCCTGTATAGCCGACGCGCCCAATATAATATTATTTGTATACATTTCATTTATTGGTTCATAATTTTGATAAAAATGGCCCCAAAATGTCAGTCTTTTTTTGTCGTTTGAATTTTGTTAATTTTCATTACAAGTAATTGAGCATATGACTGCTATCTGAACATAACTTACTAGTCGTATTTACTATATTAAAACATGATTTACATACAGCATCCTATAGAGCATTTTGTTTATAATACATATATACACATAATAAAAGCTTATTGAAGTATTTCAATATAGTGAGTAATTGTGTTACACAGTATTTTGTATAATTGTGATAACCTATAGATAACTGTGCTCTATAAGAAAAGAAAGATATAAGGTTGTATTTTGCTTTTTACACATAAGTAGATCGAGTTCTCGCTAGCAAATGAAATGCGAAACACTTGATTAGCCAAATAGCCGAAGTGATCAATGTGCATGGTCAATTTTGTGATAGTTTGCTAATCCTGTGTTTCAAAATTCAGTTCCAGTATTGAAAATTTATATTGTACGTAACATGTCAATTAATTGTTCAATTCTGGTCGGTTCTATTACTCAACTAATGCGATTGGTTAATTCCAATGAAATAATCGACCGGTTAAGTTAATCAAAAATCGTGAGATTAAACGTAACAGAAAGTGAAATTTAAAAACTTATATCTTCTTTTTACAGTTATAATATATATTATATATATTAAGCTACTAATTTTGCAAATAAATTAAACAAAATGCCCCGCGATATATTTTATGATTATTATCTGTTATTTTCGTAGAAATGGAGTATTTTATTCTCTTTGTGTTACTTTTTTTCATTCATAGCTCGCGTGTGTGTATATATTATATACACACACACACACACACACACACACACACACACACATATATATATATATGTATATATACGTGTAATTATCGTTAAGTGCTACAAACTGATTAAAAACTCGTCCTTAACAAAAAACATAAAATTTTTAAACTGACCTAGGGCATTTGATTTGTAAAATGCGAATGTTTATGGCTTAGAATTAGTTACACCTATTTTCTGTCGTTCATCAATTTCATCTTATCTCACTTACATATGGCTCATCTTTTATTAATGTCCGAAACACTCTCACACGCTCTCTCGATTAAACATAAGTAAAAAACAAAAGCAACAAATTGCATCAATAAATAAATAGGAACCAGCCTTATATGTTACATGAAGTACTAACAGATAAAACTATACAAATAATACAAACAATAATAATAATGCGGAATTTGAAATGCAGTCCTGAGGAAATATTGACTGAGAAGATACAGTTCTGTTTACAGGTAATAAATTACAAGACAGACAGTGCCTCAGTTTGATGCAACAGCTATAATTGTTATATCATCATTCTTCTCCGTTTTTTACCGTATGCTGATTTTACTACATTTACTGTTTCCATGAGAAGAGTATCTAGTATAGCTACGGTGAGGCCATTCTTCACTGCTAATTCGTCATGATGAAACTTGGTCCACTCATCCTCCTCGGCTTGAGCCTCTCTCGCCAGAAGCTCGTCTACTCTGTCTCTGCGTTTTCTGCTCCAACGCATCACCATGTTTTCCCGCTGCAGTTTTGCCTTAAAACCGAACAGCGTGGCGACTTCCTTGTTAACGTACTTGATGAGTTCTTCCTCGGACTTCGGTATCTTCATAATGGGCTTTGTCTTCACATTCGGTTTCGTCCAACTCGGACCAGGTTTCTCATATTCCGCTCGGTAGACTTCGACAATGATTTCCTTGCAGAGATTGAAGAGAAAGGTGTTATAAATCCGTCTGTCCCTCGCCACACTCTCGTTCTCGTCATTGGTCAACTCGTAAATTTCGGCAGGCACTTCCAAACTCGCGATGTCCTCATCAGCTAGCTTGGCAGCATATATCAGAGCCGCGGCTCTTTCCGTGAATGCTGTCAGCTCCTCAACGTTTGATGGTATCACAGAAGTCACCGGAAGGACGAGGTCGAGCGAGGTCAGTAATCGACCGTCTCCAGGTGGTGTATAAGGAGGCGGCGGCTTATTCGGTATTTCTCGAACGTAGTAAGACACTTCCTCCGCTTCTAATTTTTTGATCTTAAAAAGCAATATGCACACGTGGTTAGAAAATTTTGACATCTACACAACATGCGGAAAGTGTTATTAAACATACAAAATACGTACCTCCAGTTCGATTTGTAGCTGTTCAATGCGAAGCAACTTAGCTTCTAGTTCGGCGACTTCCAAGCCAGGTTGCTCCAGTGAAGCTGCACGAAGTAGCGAAAAAAAAAAAAAATATATATATATATATATACATACATATACGTATACCCACACATGTATATCAATAAATATGACAGACAGGCAGAGAGATAAATTCCTTGGGAAAAGCAACACGAACCTTCACATTACACGGAATTAACAAATTGAGTGCCTTGAGAAAAGGAAGAATAAAGAACTGAAGGGAAGGAGAGAAAAGGGACACGTCCAAATAATATGCTGAGAAACAAATGTTTTCGAATGCATGTATGAAATGATATAAAGCTATGATAAGGGATAGACACACATTTCATATATGTATGTGTGTATGTATACTATATATATGTATGTATATACATACATATATATAAAACACTTATACACAAATGGTAAAAATCTTTTTTGACAAAAAGAAAAAGGTAAAAAAAGACAGAGAGGTAGCTATTGAGATAAATAATTTGTGTTGTGATGCACAATATTTACAGGCTTTTCTTTGTGCGACATACGTATTAATAATGAAAAAGGATCAAGCATTTCATGCGACACTGATTTGTACAGAGATAACAAGTCAATGTTCGTATCATTCTTAGTTTCGTGTATTACCTTTAGACAAATATAATCTCGACTTTGCTATTTGTCTGAAAATAAACAACACATGGCTATACCAGGCAACGCTTTTGCACAGGAGAGCACACAGCCATTATAAAAAACAAAAAGTGTTTTTGTAGTATGTGTGATATAGATCGAGATATGTGTAAATATGTATCGAGTGTCTGAGATGAGAGATGAGCTTCACATAAAAATTGCATCGCATGATTTCACTCGAGAGAATGACAACAATAAATTCATAAAAAGAAAAAACGACCCACTATCTCCTAACATACAAGGTGTGTTTGAAATATGTTATTCGATTCTTGCAATTTTATATATTAACTCGAATAGCATCTTTCAAAACTTATTACTTATTGACACTATCTTGCATTTTCTGCATTTCATTTCGAAAATGCCCATTCGATAACAACATCGTTTGAGTCTCATGTATTACACGCAACAACTTTTAACTATATATGTATATATAATACATAATATATATATATATATTTCAAGAGAAAGCCGGAAAGTATGTACACAATTATCAGATACATACGTACATAGTATAGGATTAATATTGTGTGTAAAATTCATACAGTAAAGAATTTCAAATACATAGCAGAAGTTATTTAATTTAAAAACAACTCTTTTCATAAAGTCTCTTTCTCTCTACTTCTTTTTTTCCTATTTTTACATGTATGTAAATTTCAAGTAATAAAATACATTGATGTTTTAGATATATTACATAGAATATAACGAAAAAATACCTTTTAATTTGTCGATCATGGTCTCGATGTCCTTTTCGGATGTAGCGACGATAGACGCGGAATGGAAATTGGTCTTTATGTCATTCTGACTTGCTCCTTTAGTACCGCTCAAAAGATCGTCGTCCAGGATATCGATATCTAGCCTGGAGTCATTGAGATCCCTTGGTGAATCCATCTCGATCTCGGATACACCCCGCGGAGTTTCGCCGGCTTCGCTGGAATCAGACGAGTCGTCCTGCTCCTGCAGCTGCGCGACTTTCTCACGCAATTCGTACATTATCCGCGAGGATTTGTCGTCCGCGTCGTGCTCGGCCAATTTTGAAAGAGCCACGCTTTTGTTCTCGAATAATCCGACATCGCTGGTCTCCATCGATAGCTTCACCTGTTTTGTTTCTTCCCGGAATCGATCCCTCGACACGTCCATTTTACGAGAAGATTCTTCCTGAATCTTCTTGCTTGTCTCAAGCGACAAACTATCATCTTCCACAGAAACCCGTCTCAAAAATTCATTGATGTCTTCTGTCACACTCTTCTCGCTTTTTCGCGAATTGCTTGTAGACTCGAGCGATGATTTCTGCGAAAGTTGGTCCAATATTCTCAACACCTCGTCTGATTTTTGCGTAACTTCATACCTCTCCGGTAAACTAGATTTCTTCGCAATACCTGCTTTCGAAGAGTCATGTTTGTCTAAAATTTCGGATACTTCGAGGCTCTCTTCGGAGATATCTTCGTACTCCGGATCTTTCAGTATGTCAAAGGTTTTGTTAAGGTTTTCCGTTACTTTTGCTTCTTCTGATGTCGCGGTTTCATTATTTTTCGGATCTACATTATCTTCAATCTGCACAAGAGCCGCGTCATCTCTTATCGACTTGAGAGAATCTCGCGACGGTGCAAAGTGTTTCTCCAAAGTGTCTAATCCACTCTCGGCGACTTCCACTAAATTGTCTAATTGTTCACCGTCCGAGCTGTCCTGTTCCAAAATTGGTTCCAAACATTCTTGTATCTCTACAAATACTTCTTTACTTTTTTCCACAACGCAACGATGATCTTCATCTGTTTCCTCTTCTTCAGCCAATTCGACTTTAGCATCGATTTCAAGTTCCGATAAAGCATTATCTTCGATGCTGTCTGAATCCAGTTCTGTTATTATAATTTCTTTTACCTCCGACATCGTCTCGCGTGGGCTCTCCTCCTTGTCATGTTTGTCGTCAGTTTTGATTTCTAACCAACTATCCGTTGCTTCCTCCTGTTTAGATTTATTAGCTGTACTTTGAGAAATCACATTGTTTTCGTTTGTATCTTCTTCCTCTTCTCTCTTTAACATTGAAGTATCCGAAACTGTTTCTAGTTGATTATTTATATTAATATTCATATCACATAAGATCTCTTCAAGGTGATTCTCTGCGCTCTTCTCATCGTCCTTCGCAATATCCTCTACTTTCTCTAACAATTCGGTTATAGAATCAGAAATATTAAACTTCTTGCCGTTAGAAATATTTTCTACTTGATTATCTTCTCTAGCAATTATATCCAGGATATCGTCGAGCTCGTCGTTATTTTTAATTGTGTGGGATTCCAGCGTTGTATTGGTAAACGTCACATTGTGCAGTTCGACATCAATAGATGCTTCCTTGGAAATAAACGCTGACACATTCGCTTCGCCCGCTAACTTGCTCTTAGCTTTCTTGTCATCAACGTGCACATCTCGTTCCGACGTGTTGTTAGAACTATCGTCTATATGCTCCGATACTGATCTTGAATCTTGCGAATGTTTTTGTTCTCCTTCCTCATTTTGCGCGACTTCGAATGAGTCGGACGTTGTCCAGTCATTGTTATCCTGAGAAACATCTTTCGGAGTAATTGTACGCAATTGACTTTGATCAGTGTTGGACGCCAGTGAATTTACATCTTTCGACACTTCAGGAATATATTCCGACAACTCTGAAGCGTCACTGGCAAGATGACGCGAAAGTTGGCTTGAAACTACGCTCCGAGTACTCTGCGAATTATCGTCAGATGTTCTATAAGCTATTTTCGAACGGTGACCCGATATTATAGGAGAATGCAGTGATTTAGTGCTAAAACGTTCGGAAAGCGTTCTAGACAAATATATTTCTGCCGAATGATTCTCCTTCGTTTTTTCTTGTTCTTCTTCTTCGCTTATATCCTTTTTCGCGTTGTCAACAATCTCGGTTGCAATATCACTTCTTTTGCTTTCCTTGGAAAAAATCTCAGATATTGACTTCACATCGAGTTTCGACAATAAATCATTCAACGATTCTTTATTTCTATCTTCCAATGTTGCGCTGTAATTGTTTTCACTGTATGTCGTTGTTTCGAGGTGCTCTGATATTATAGATCTCTCTATTTCATTCATGATCTCTTTGCTTTTGGCTTCGTAATCGATCTCATGAACTGAATTAGATAGGCTAATTGCTTCTTCCGGAATAGTCGCGGATATTTCATCGTTTATTATCTTATCCGTTACGTCGTAACTTAAATCCTTGGATTTTAAGTTTTCGTCATTGATTGAAGTGGCAAACGATTCGGTATTAATTTTCGTCTCGTGCGATATCGTTTGCTTCTCTTCGTTTGCGATATTAGATATTTTGTCGCTGAAAACCGACTTGGATATTACGTCTGATGTGTCTTGCAACGTATTCTTATCGTCGTTATCCACTTTAGACTTCCCGTTCGATTCCTTACTCAAGCGCGACATTATCTCCCTCATGTTGTTCTCGAGACTGCTTATGTTCTCGTTCAGATTTTTGTTGTTTAATTGCAGAAAATCTAATTTTCGGGAAAAACTGAGCGTATTGAAATCAACTGTCGCGTGTGCAACATTTTTCGTAGATGAGTCAGACTTACGCGAAATAGATGTCGAGTAATCGACACTTTTTATTCCCTGAATATCAGATTCTATTGTTGAAATTTTTCGTTCGGATTTATTGATACTTACGATTAGTTCATTATCTGTGGATATGGTATTTTGATGACTCGATTTTACATCCGACATTGTTCGCACTTCTAATTCTGTGTTAGAATTTATTTGAATGTCTTTTGCATCGCGCGATGCAATTACAGATTTTTGAGCGTGTTTTCCGAATTGTGAGTTATTCATAGACGATGGTCTGGAAATCGGTGTATGAACTTTATTATGTGTTCCTGTCAATGTATGGTCATCAAGCGTCGTCTGAATGTTGTGACTATTGTCAGTGATATTTATTGATTTTGAAGCAGTTGTATCTGTGGTTTTTACAGAGTTCTTACTCGAGCTCTCTCGCTCATCGTTATGCGTCAAAAAAGACGCAAGTTTTGAATTCTTTGGTTGATTTCTCATTGACAGAAGATCAGACTCCGATCTGGATCTCAATAAATCGTTCTTCTTATAAATATCTTCTATTTTCTTAATATGCGGTATTTCAGGTACTTTGTAGTCGGCCAACGACCTCGGTTCTATAGCTAACTTATCGGTTTCTTTGAAACTTTTCTTTGAATCCAATTTTTTACGCATCTTGTGAATGCTCGCGTCATAAATCTGTTAAACAAAGAAAAACGTTGTCGGAGAGATAAATTTTAGAGATAATAATCAGATATTTATTTGATAGTATATTGCTTACCTTGATTTTATTCAACAAGTTCGTTTCCATATCAAGTAGCTGTTTCTTTGCTCGCTTTTTGGCTTCTTTCTTTAGACGCGCGATCTCGTTACGTCGTTTTGCTACTTCCTCGGTCAAAGCTGTTATCCTTCCTTCAATGTCGCTCATGTCGGACGACACGGTGGTATCTACAATAGAGCGCAGAAGTCTCTCTGATTGCAATCAGAGTTTAAACGTATGCCATATAAGTTGCATTCGATAAATTATATATTTATAATCAAACATATGACACTTGTAATTCGCAAAGAGTTTCAGAACCACGTAAAAAAACAACCAGCTATTTTATTAAATTTCAAATAATTTCTAAGTTACCTTGTAAGACTGCTTCCGCAACAAGTTTGTAATATGCTGCCTGTTCCATACGAGTCACACGATCTTCCTCCGCTTTTAACCTCGCGTGTCGGGCCATGTAATTTTCTACGCACTTCTTGCGCGATGTAAGTGCAACTTCGCGTTCAGTTAAAATTCTGGAGAAGATAGAAACACTTACAGTTTTACGAATAGACAAAATGGTGCATGCTTCTAATGTGTGGATTGCTACTCTTTCTGCAGAAAATCTATTTTTGCAATGCTCCAACTTAATGTAGTGCGAATGCACGGTTTATTATTAGATTTCTCCCCAACACGGACACGTGATTTCAGTGATTCACGAGATTTTATTAGTAGAACATAACGTGTGAAATAGAATATAACGTTTACAACATTATAAAAGAGAATAATCAAGAGGAAAGAGAAATCAATGTATCTAAATACACACAAATATGTACAAATGTTGTTACTTACTGTTCAAAATCTTTGTTTTCCGACTTCTTTCTAAGTTCCAATCTTATAGATTTCGAGAAACTCGTTTCACTTTCGGAATGGGATATGGTAAATGAAGTGGACACGTGAATTCCCTGTTCGTTCTTCGAAGGGTTTTCAACATTATTTTCGACATTTCTATTGAAAGCTTGTTTAGAAATTATACTTTCCTTGGTCTCACATTTGTTTGTCGAAGTTTTATCTTTTACAACTCCTGAATGTTTGCGCTCCGATTCGTCCAAAATTAAGCTTTCGTTATTGCTATCTAACTGAGAAGATTCATTTTTCAGTTTTGCTCGTTTATCGTGATGATTAAGAAGTCCCTCAAATATGTAAGAACTAGATATCGATCTCAGCACATTTTCCGTTAACGTACTGGAAGACGATTTGGTTTTCTGGTAGTTGGAACTTTTACGTTTGGAATTTGTTTTTAGTTCAGTACTATGTTGCGATTTTTTAGATACGTCTCTATCACTTACAATAGATTTATCACTCTTTTTCGAACTTTGGCTCGAAATTGTCTGCAACAAATCTTCCGAGATTTGTGGCGATTTTGTCGTTTTCGTATTGGTGTCTTGCAGTGTTGTGTTTATCTGTTCCTCTATGGATTTGCTATTGGCGTTCGAGTTAGATGTCAAATCTTTGTTTCTCTCTCGTGAGATCGTCGCAGTTTCTTCGGTCTGCAATATTCTCGACAACTCTTCCAGCACGTCGGATTCAGATTTCACGTCTAACGCGTCCGGTCTCGGTGACATCACCAGAGATTCCTGACTTCCCAAAAGTTGTTTCATAGAATGTCCTTGATATCGCTTAGATTTCACGTCGAGTTGATTCTGCTTCTGTCGCAGAACGTTAGCTCCGGGCATTTTCTCTTCGTATTTTCGTGATCTTACTTCGTATTTTAACACATCGCTTTTCTTCTGCGATTTTGCAAGAGACTTTTGAAGTTCTTTGCTCTCGTCACATCTCGTGTTAGTATCCTTAGCTAAACGCGTGGATACGTTGGACTTGATTGAGTCCAATTTGGAGTGCACGTCGCTTCCGAGCGTTTTTAGACGCGCGTCACCCTGAGACTGATCGTGCAGCGACTTATCCGAATCAATCACAGAGCTCAAAGAACTGTTACTGCGTATGTCATAACCCTTCATAGGACCCGATAACTTTCTTGGCGATTGACTATCGGCGCTCCTTTTCAATTTCGTCAAGATATGATTTTTTGTCGACATGTCTTGAGATTGACTAAGCAGAATTCTCTCATGTTGTAACAACAATGTACGTTTCTTTATAATGTTTACAGCTGCTTTTATCCTGTTAAAACAAATAGTACACTTAATATAGTGATTACTTACACAAAATGTGTATATAAGTACGATTATACATAAATTATATAAACCTCTCTGCGTAATGCGTTCCTCGTATTAGTTTCATAAGCAGGGCTCTCTGTTTCTTTTTTAAGGGACGGCTGTCCTGGCCTCTATTTTTTAACGCGCGCTTCTGGTCTTCTAGCTGCTCTATTTTCTTCTGCTTATCATACGCTATCTCCATGTACGCCTTATAAATTTCCTCGAATTTGGTACATCGTTCCTTCTCGTGTTTTATAAGCCGTTCGTTTTCATTCAAACACTGCGCTATCTGAAAAAAAAAAAAAAAAAAAAACCGCGTTCCAGAATAAAATATGTAGTGTTCACAGTGTTACAGATGCACAATAAAACGGAATTACTTCTGAATACTGCTGATTTTCGATGCTGAGCTCTGCAAACGAGCATGTTACGTCTCTCGAAACAATCTCGGTGCCAGTCTCCGTTTTTTTCGACGACGTCGTTTCATGTAAAATACTAAACTCTGACATGACATTTTTGATTTTGGGCAGTGATATATCGTCTTCTACTTGGTCCAAAGTTTCATACTTAGAATCTAAAGACAGCTGAGAAACTTGATTCCCCGCTAAAAGTTGTTCATATACTTTTTCGCGTATTTTCGATAATTTATTCTCTGCATTTCGTTCGTTCAGAGATAGATCCGTTTGAGTTGCCATATCATTCACCGTTTGGGTTTGTATTTCTGCCACTGCTTTATTCAACTTTCCATAAGTTTTATTTGACTCATCAACATTGCCTTCGTCGTTCGGTTTCCGGATTTCGACATTTTTCTTCATATAATCAAGCAAATTAGATGGCACTGTAAAAATATTTCGTGTATTTACACAAACAAATTTGCATGTGATAGTGTGTTCACACATACACAAAATTACACAATATTTAAAAGAGAAAATAAATTAGTTCCTTCTTACAATTCTCCTCAACATCCTCTTTATCAATCACCAAACTTTCTCCAACTTCCGCAGTCTTTTTCAGTTCTTCATCTTTTTCACTTATTTTCTGTAGTTTTTGTTCCTGTTCACATGTTGCATTGTATAAATGTTTTTCAACATCCATAACTTGTCTGAGAGACTCAACGTGGGAATCATAAAGATGGAGCTCTGTCTGAAATTGCATATATAAAGCTGTTGGGTGCATCTAAAATTTCAATTTTATTTCATTAAAAATGCACGGATATTATTTTCGCTGGTTAAGTAAATATGTAATACTTATATACTTACCAATTGTATTCCTTCTTGTATTCCTTTTTCAGATTTGGTGTGCGATAACTTGGATTTTGGACATCTAGTATCTATCTCCAAGTCATTGCTTTCTATACAATTGCTTCTTCGTTTAAATCTAGGCTCAAGAGTCATCTTCTCTGGTGCGATTAAATTGTGAAATTCTTGTTGAGTATAGCCATCTCTGAAGGAGATTCTTCTAGAATCAAACAACGAATCTGGAAGTGTGTTGACATCCATATCATTCGAATCATCGTTAGTAGTCGCTTCTTTAGTAAACACGTTCTGGGAATATGACTCCTCATCTTTTTCAGTGTGTGATACGGTTTCCACTTGCGTCATGTTTAAATGTTCTGAATATGATGTATGATTCTCTGAAGTCTTAGCTAATCTAGCGGAATTGTTCACGTCACTTTCTGAAAATGTTTCAGAATCTATACTCTTCGAATGCCGTGTAACACTTATAGGATAAGCATTTGCACGATTCTTAAAACTATTTGTTATTTCGGATGGTGATTCAATATTTTCTAATGATTCGTCTAAATTCGTACTACGTTTCCCTTCGAGTTTGCTTGTATTCGGCATTTTATTTTTATCACATATTCTCTTTGTTTGTTCCTTACGGGTAATGATCACTTTATCTTGTTTTAACTGTTTACTATCTAATTCAGATTTATATTTTAAGTCTTCTATCTCAAGTTTCTTCAAGTTACAAATGTCTTTCAATTTATTTTCATTATTAACCGAACTACTGACTTTATTATCACTCAGTATAACTTCCTCCGACACTTTCCAAGATGGAAAGGCGGAAGTTTCATTATAATTACCAGATATTCGAGGTTTACCTGCTGAAACATACTCTTTTATTGAATCCACAGACTGTACATTAAAAGATTTTTGTCTTTTGTCACTATCTTTTTTAACGGTAGACGTAACAAAATTTTTATCCTTCGATGTTGTCAAATCACTTTTTGACATGTATAGCAATCTGTCATTCTTCAATAATCTTATGTCACTTGTATCAACTGTGTCTCTTCTAGAAACGTGTCTTGGACTTCGACTGCGTTTGACTTGATCTTGTACTGATTCGTATCGTTTTGCACACAAAAAATCATCTTTTTTTATTCTCTTAGATCTATTTTCCTTCTCTCTGGAACTGTCCCTACCATGTTCCTTTTTTTTGCTCAAATTAAACGCTATAGATACATTAGGTGCCTTTAGTGGCTCTATTTCGCTATTTATAACCGATGATCCAGCTACAACAAAGTCCAATTTTCGTTGCACTCTCTCTCCAGTTTTTGATGTCTTGTCAGATCTATTGTATAAAATTTCCTTTGTTGATACTTCAGACCTTGTCGACGACAACTCCTTTGAGATAGTATTTTCTCTGCTTGAAAACTCCAGTGTTTTTGAGGTAATTTTCACATCTGGTATTTTTAGTGGTCTAATATCCATCTCTTGTTCAATTACCGAAGAAGCTAAATTGCTCTTTACTACAGAATTTGGATCATGTATTCTTACACTGGTATCATGATCTTTTAAAGCAAACTTTTGTTTCACTGCGCTAATAAATGGAAATGGATATGAATATCCTGGACATAAAAACAAGTTCTTTATATTCAGTGGTTGAATGCCTAAGTAAGGTGAATCTCTCTTCAAAGTTTGCACTCTTAGATCTTGTGTAAGTGCTTGTTTTTGTGCTGTCTACAATAAAAAGAAATCATATATAGAATGTTGCGTATTTACAATCAGAAACATTTTTTGCAAATACAACAAAAATAAGTATTGTACTTACAACAGCAGAAATCTCAGCTCGCTTAGCAACAACATCTGGATCTGTGAAGAAGACATATTTTTTTCTATCCTCTTTATGACTACTATTCTTCATATTTTTGTGTAAACTATGAAGATAACATTCTGTGTTGAGTTATTATGATTTATAGGTTTTGATTAACAGCACATTCAACTACAATGAAAAACAAGATCAAATTAATGTAAAAAAAAGAAGATATATAATCTTATATCAATATCAATAATAACAATAATATTCAAAGATTTGAAACAATATTTATATATACTTAACAAACTAGTATCGCAGTATAGTATATGTTAATTATATTATTACAGCAAGTGTTAACAGTTGTGTAGAATTTTTCTTTACTTTAATGTAAATTTCTATACGCCAATGGTTACAAATAATACATTCGCATACATGCACCAATAAAACAAGAAATTTCCAAAAACAGTATTTTCGTAAAAGAAAAACTATTTGCTAATTTACAGCGTTGTGTATCTTGAGTAGTCACAGTGTAAGGTGCAATTTTTAATCACCGACACCGCGACATGTAATCTTACCAAGAGTTTATTTTCAGCTTGGGATATGTCTTTTTCCCGTCAATACAAGAATTCCATGAACACCGTACTATATGTTACTACCTATATCACGTCCTCAGCAGTTTGCCACAACGACCGTTTGTAAACCGTGGTCACGTGGTACAGAACTTGCTACTCGTTCATCAAACATGGCAACCAATGACGACGGAGACACGCACCGCAGAGACGTTAATCGATATCAACGTTACTGCGAGAATTTCATGGAAAACGAGAACTGCGACGAGGGAGCATAATGACAGCTCTGTGCACACTCCATTTACTCGCATCGCCGGCCGCGTACAAGTTACACCACATGTTTTGCCACATGTAAAAGCATCAAACTCAAACCTTTGCCATTTTCGAGACGTAAAATATCTTTCTTTCTCCCTCTTTTTCTCTCTTGCTACACGTCGTAAATTCCAATAAAATCTACGATACACCTGCAGCAACCTGTAGCTAATAAGTAAACACGCACTTTGATGTATCCCCTGTCATCGGATTGGATTAACGTGTATGTACGTACACGTGAGAGGAGCCAATCAGTGAACTGACGCGCGCGCCCGTTACATGTGTACTCCAATGAGGACTCACCCAGAACGCGACTTTCAACGCTTTTTATCGCGCCGCCATTTTGCGCCACAACAGCGCCTCTCCAGAAGAAATCGAATTTAACCGACTATTTAAATTCGAAAGAGGGTAACGGCATGTGATCACTGGTCTCGCGCTTTTTGCAACGTGTGTGTGTTCATCATACAACAAATTGTTATCTTACGAAAAATTAGGGTATGTATTTATATAACGACGTGCAATTAAATGTAGACTGTAGCTAATTGGCAATGTTATTTTGTTTCCAATAAAGAAATAGACGTCAAAATAATGTCCAATCAGCCAGAGTGGAAGCCAATAGTGCAAAAAACTGTTGCCGGTCTCGAGCAAACGTTTGAGGAATTGCAGAAAACCTGGGAAGATATAGGATGCACAGAGAACGTACGGGAGTTGTATTACGAGCAAGCTCACGAACACATAATGGATTTGTTACATGACATGGTCATCGAATCGCAGACAAAAAAACAGCAGTTAGCGAAGAGCATAGAGGATTTGTGGAAGAAAACAAAGAAGTTGTATACAGAGCTTCAGCTGGAAATGGAGCTCAAAAGTTACGATCACATTTCTCTGAGCGATGTGCGACAAATGCTCGAGAGAGATGTGCAAAAGCTAGAGGACATAAAGGAAGAACGTAAGGCAATATTAGATAAATTATTGGCAAAAGAACATGAAATTTGTGAGAAACTGGGTGCGAAAAAATTGGATATCTCCACAAATCCTTTACCTACTGATCAAGAAATAGAGAGCTTCAAGCTTTATTTGCAGTCGCAAGAAAATGAGAAAATACGTTTGGAAAGTATTTTTGCAGATACACGAAGCTGTATAATCAAGATAATGCATGATCTCGATATATCTCCATCCTCATCATTTGAGCAATTAATCTATAATAATCCAGAGAGTTTTGTGCTGAGTGAAAACAATATGACAAAACTCATAGAATTAAAAAATGAATTGGAAGCAGAAGTGGAAGAACGAAAGCACCGTGTTGAGAAAATGAAAAAAGATTTATTGATGATGTGGAAGTATATTGATGAACCTGCTGATGTCTGTGAAACATTTCTGCAGAGCTGTTCTGGTTATAGCACTGGCACCATTAATGCTCTCAATGCGGAAATAAAACGTTGCAAGGAGAAACAAAAAGAAAACATTTTTAAGTATGTGACTACAATCAGATACGAAATAATGCATTTGTGGGATTTGTGCAGATACTCCGAGACAGAGAAGAGTACATTTGCACCGTTTCATTCAAATACATTCACTGAAGATTTGGTGACGTTACACGAATTGGAAGTAGAAAGGTTGCGCAAATTTTACGATGGTAATCGAGCAATATTTGAGCTTTTGGACCAGCGAGAAAAACTCATGATGAAGATAAAAGAGATTCTTCAGTGGCCAAACAATCCAGATCGCTATCATAATCGTGGGGGTAAATTATTGATAGAAGAGAAAGAACGCAAAGTGATACAAAAGAAGTTACCCAAAATTGAAAAAGAATTAGAACAATTGGTAAATGAATACGAGAAGAAGCACAACAAGCCGTTTACTATTTATGGTACAACATTGGAAAACGTTTTAGCAGAAACTTGGCAGAATATTAATCAAGAGGTGGAGACCATAAAAAAGGCGAGGAAAGAAGGGAAAGATAAATCCATAAAAAAATCACCCTTAAATATTTCTAAGCCAGGTACATCTCAATTAAGCATTCACAGGGGTGCAACACCTCTTCACTTGTCAAAACGGAAATTGTTCACTCCATCTCCCAATTCGTCGGCAAAAAAAAGAAACAAAACCAGTGACAAAAAACCTACCGTCACTGTGTCCAAAGTTAGAAGAAGTGGAAAATTTCCAAAAAATGCTCAAAAACACAGATCTTCCAGAGGCGGAGAAAAAAGCAAGAAGAGAGAATCACAGTCTCTCTTAGATACAACGTATAATCAGTTTCAAGGCCACATGACAAACCGAGAGGAATTGCACAGCTCGATGATACCGGACCAGGTATTAAAAACATCCACTAAGCTCAATATCGTGAAGACACCAGTACGAACACCTGCAAAACCATTAAGGAAAAATTTAGCTGCTGCCAGAACTCCCGTCACACGCAATTCCGCGAAAAAATTACCGCTCAGTCCTAGAACACCGCTTGTTAACACACCTAGATTAGCAACAGTTCAGAGCAATTTGAATTTTCTTTTTTAAATGTCTCGTGACAACAGAACTTTTTACAACATATGACGGCTAAAAAAATTTCTTATTCATGTAAATATTCTAAAATACAACAAAATTAACGTACATTAGTATTTATTAAGATTTTAACGAGTACTTGTTATGTATACGTATATATCGAATTATTCGGAAAGTTTTTTTTTTTTTTTTTTTTTTTTTTTTTTTTTTTTTTTTTTTTTTTTTTTTTTTTTTTTTTTTTTTTTTTTTTTTTTTTTAAATAAAACGCAACGTATCGAGACGTATGTGTATAAACATTGCGTAGATGAAAACCTTGAACAACACCGAATGTGAGAACAGATTTATCAAGGATAAATTATGTGAGTTTGTGTATCCAATAACGAAATATTTCCGAATGACCCAATGCTCTCTGTCAATAAAAAACACATTTGTGTTTTATCTATATTGTATCTTAAGATGTTTCTGTATTATTATATTTATTGATGTACCTTGAGTTGTTTGTTTCTTTCACTGAGTGTATACACACTGTGAGGAGTTTCATGCAATTTTTCTATGCAGCTACTATAGTATCAGAGAAATTTATATCATTTTAGTAAGTATTGTATATGTAGAATTTTAATACTGTATATTATAATGATTACTAAATAAATAAAATTTAATAGCGCGCGCACAAAAATTTTTAAAGAAATATATATGTGTATAAAGATTTTAATTACTCATTTCTAAAATAAAAAAGACTATTTGTAAAAATTTTATGCAATTGTCTCATTTACTGTTTTATGACTTTACACTTTTATTTTAATAAGAACTTCATCCCTGGTTATATGCGCATGGTGTTACTTTTCTGTTTCTCGTGAAAGACTTATCGATTTTCAACTGATTTGTAGCGCCCTCTAAAACTGGAAAGCTCGAAAAGAGGTTACCTTTTGATTAAAAATTGCTACACAACGCTATGAGAAACTAGTGAAATTGTGTAAAAATTTCGCATTCTATGTGCCAGGAAAAATATTGTTGCAGCATTATCGCTTGAAATAAGTGCAAAAGAGGAAAAATGGGAGATATAAAAGCTTTCTTTCACGAGTGGTGTGCGAAGAACGGAAAAGAACCGTTGTTCGATGTCAGAGTTACAGGTAAGTTCGTCATTTAGTAGAGACGCACTCATATTATTAACATTAATATCGAAATGCAGTGAAAAAATTTTACATATTTTACAGGACCAAGGCACAGGCAACGTTTTCTTTGCGAGTTGCAAGTGTCCGGATTTGACTACGTCGGTGCGGGAAATTCGACTAATAAGAAAGATGCGCAAGGAAATGCAGCTAGAGATTATGTAAATTATTTAGTTCGCACAGGCCATGTAAATCAAAATGACGTGCCGCAAGACACCGGGTCGCAGCATCACAATAAAATGCAAGATAATGCAACACCATTGGTCTCGACATCGGTAGCGAAACCAGTGTTCCAAGAAGGCATGGGACCAAACGAGATCGGTCAGGCATACAGGCCATACAACGAACACGGTCACAATAATTACACATACATTGACAGATTGGCAGATAGCAAGAAAGTAGAAGAAGCGGAAGATGTTGATGTTAATTCCAGTATACACGGAAACTGGACTATAGAGAACGCTAAATCGAAACTTCATCAGTTTTTACAAACCCATCATATTAATGCAGATTACAAGTATACTTCGGTTGGTCCAGATCACATAAGGTATGAAGTCTCTCAGTGGAGCTTTTTTCTAGAGCATTGCATAACGAGAATATTAGTTCATCTAAATGCTTTGTTTAAAAGCTCCATGTTGTTTCATTTAAAACTTAACAAGGCTATTTTGGAGTACATTTGTTTTTCTCATATATAAACTGGCGCAAAAGAGTGATTATCAGCTCTCTTGTGCACAGGAGATGATATCGTACACAAATTTAACCAAAACTTTTATTAAAATGATTTAATATTGGTTTTGGTGCCATCAAAGAAAAAGAAACTGTTTTCAATGTACTCCAATATGGTCATCTATGAGAACCTGAAGTGGTAAGTTTGTGTTTTTCTTTGCAGTGTTAATTGAGGGAATAAATTGAACAGGAAAGTAAAATTTAAAGAATTTAAATTTATGTTAATTTTGAATATCTTCTCTAAACAAAGTTTTTCATGTTTATTCCCTTAATTATTAATTGTGCATTGACAATACGTGACATTATTTACAATGCTTATAATAAAAAATTACATTTTACAGGAGTTTTATGGCAGAAATGACAATTTATGTCAAGCAACTGGGACGAAGTATGTTTACTTCTAATATGTGTTTTTATGTACAATAGATATAATAATGTCAGAATTTTCTAATGTTATATTATGTTCCCTTCTAGGTGTAACTGGTCGTGAAACTGGATCAAACAAACGAGTAGCTTCAAGAAGTTGCGCTTTGTCTATTGTTCGTCAATTGTATCATTTAGGTGTTCTTGAAGCTTTTAATGGTACATTAAAGAAAAATAAAACATCTGACCAGATAAAACCTTATCCTGTGAAAATTTCACCAGATCTGGACGAACAGATTAAGGATGTTTTAACAAAACTAAATATAACACCAATTAAAGTCGAAATGGTATTAGTTAATTATATTATTCAACATAATTATATAAAACATACTATTTTTATTGCATTGTATACATGTGTATTAAAGATTCAATCTAATTGTGTTTGTATTTAAAACAATATTTCTTCGGAACAGCCAGCAACAGATCAAGATAAGGAAGAGAAAGATGAGACTTCAACGACTGCTGGGGTGTCTTTGTTAACAAATCAAGTTTTGGACGACTTTATATCTTCTATGCCACAACCTGCTGGTGTGGTAAGTTGGTCGCCACCTCAGCCAAATTGGAATCCATGGACCGGATGTAATATCGACGAAGGACCATTAGCGACAATGTCTCTGGATAAATTGTCGGAAGATTTGATGGGAGAACAACGCGAGAAGTTACAGAATAACGCCAGCTTACAGGCAAGCATAAAAGAAAGATCTAATCTCCCCGTTTATTCAATGAGAAATGACATCATGAACGCCATCAACGACCATCCGATCATTATTATACGCGGAAATACGGGATGTGGCAAAACCACGCAGGTTTGTCAATTTATTCTGGATGATTACATCGCATCTGGCCAAGGAGCATATTGCAGCATAGTTGTCACTCAACCTCGAAGAATTTCCGCCGTTTCTGTAGCCGACAGAGTCGCAGCCGAGAGATGCGAGACTTTGGGACAATCGGTCGGGTATTCTGTGAGATTTGAATCTTGTTTGCCGAGACCATACGGCAGCATAATGTTTTGCACTGTGGGTGTACTCTTGAGAAAACTAGAGGGTGGCCTCAGAGGCGTATCGCACGTAATCGTCGACGAGATTCATGAACGCGATGTCAATTCGGATTTTATTCTGGTTGTGCTAAGAGACATGATTCATCTCTATCCTGATCTTAGAATTATTCTGATGTCGGCTACAATTGACACGACGCTGTTCAGTGAATATTTCAACAAATGTCCCGTCGTGAACGTTCCCGGCAGATCTTATCCCGTGCAACAATATTTTCTGGAAGATTGTATAGAGCTGACCCACTTTGTACCGCCGATAGCTTCCGGGAAACGCAAGTCTAAAGATTCGGACGAAGCACCGATGGATGGGGAGCAAGAGGAAAATTTGAACAAAGTCATCGACAATAGATATTCTATTCAGACAAAGAACGCCATGGCGCAATTGTCGGAAAGAGAGATATGCTTTGAGTTAATAGAAACTTTGCTGGTTTACATCAGCAAACAGAATATTCCGGGTGCTGTTTTGATCTTCCTTCCTGGTTGGACCTTGATATTTACCTTGATGAGACAGCTTCAGCAACATCCGGTGTTTGGCGGTTCTTCATATTGCATAATTCCGCTACATTCCTCACTTCCGAGAGAAGATCAGCGTAAAGTTTTTGATCCCGTACCGCCTAGTGTAACCAAAATCATATTGTCCACGAATATTGCCGAAACTTCGATTACGATCAACGACGTCGTCTACGTCATAGATTCCTGTAAAGCCAAAATGAAGTTTTTCACTTCTCACAACAATATGACCAATTACGCGACTGTTTGGGCTAGCAAAACGAATCTGGAACAACGGAAAGGTAGAGCGGGTCGTGTTAAGCCCGGCTTCTGTTTTCATCTGTGCTCGAAAACTCGATTTGACAAAATGGATGAACACATGACACCAGAAATGTTCAGAACGCCTTTGCACGAACTGGCATTGAGCATCAAGCTCTTAAGATTAGGCAATATTGGACAATTCTTATCGAAGGCGATCGAGCCACCGCCTATCGATGCCGTGATCGAAGCCGAAGTTATATTAAGAGGTAAGCTATCTTTTAATTTTTTTTGTTTGTGTTGAAATTTCATTTCTTTGTGTAAATTTTTTCACAGAAATGAAATGTCTGGACAAGAATGACGAATTAACGCCTCTCGGCAAGATCTTGGCACGTTTACCGATAGAACCGCGTCTAGGGAAAATGATGATCCTGGGCTGTATGTTCCGCGTAGGCGACGCTCTCTCAACAATGGCCGCGAACAGCGCTACGTTTCCAGAGGTGTATAACACGAGTCCTGACATGAGAAGGCTCAGCGCTCAACAAAAGGCGTTTGCCGGTGCGAGATACAGCGATCACGTTGCCATGTTCCATGCTTTTCAGGCCTGGGAAGAGGCGAGAGGCGGCGGTGAATATGCGGAACAGATGTTTTGCGAGTCAAAAAACTTGAACATGCCAACTTTACGGATAACGCTTGAAGCTAAGGTTGGTAACATCGCAAACGTTGCGTTGTATTTTTGTTTTTACAATTGTAGTATATTGCGATGACTGCTAATTTCTTTATATGCAGAATCAATTACAAGGGTTGCTGCAAAATGCTGGTTTTCCGGAAGAAACTCTATGTCCGGTCCCGTTGAATTATCAAGCGCCCGCCGATCCGCGTCTCGATACCATTACCGCGCTGTTATGTATGGGTCTTTATCCCAATGTCTGTTATCACATGGATAAACGAAAAGTTCTGACCACGGAATCAAAGGCGGCGTTGATTCACAAGATATCAGTAAACTGCAACATCTTTGAACAAAAGTTTCCATTCCCATTCTTCGTGTTCAACGAAAAGGTAAACTATTTTGCATCTTTGTTTTTTGTTCGTAAGCAATTATAATTCTCTTTCATATGTTATCAGCTTCGTTCGAGAGTTGTATCGTGCAAACAATTGACTATGGTATCGCCTATTCACTTGTTGCTATTCGGATCTCGAAAAGTTGACTACGTGGACGGCATGATTAGGTTGGATAATTGGATAAATTTGGACATGAATCCGCAGCACGCAGCAGCCATAGTTGCTTTACGACCTGCTCTAGAGAGTCTTGTAGTCAGGGCGTCTAAAAATCCAGAAACAATTCTAGAGTTGAGCCCTACTGAGGAAGAGGTAACCTCAACTCGGTCAAGAATAACAATGTATATTTATCTCTTTTTAGATACGTGTATGTGCATAAAATTTCTATTGTTTTTCTCTCTTAGGTGCTGAGTGTGATTAAAACATTATGTGGCATGAACGCTGGCCGTTATGAGATGGAACAAGTAACTGGCGGCAGTTTTCACCAGTCTACTCGACGCTGGGGTTCTACAAGTAGCCTTCTTGACAAGGGTCCTCGTCCGCCAAAAATGATACGAGGAAATGACAACGGTCCACCTTCTTCACCAAATATGATGCGTGGACCACCGCCACCACCACCTATGTACAACAATAATCAACGGGGTGGTTATCGGGACGGTTTCAGTGGGTCGTACAATAGAAATTACAACAGACCTTGGCAAGGCGGTCGTGGAGGAAACTGGAATAACAGTGGATATCGCAGAAATTACTAAATGTTTCACAAATAATACATATATTTATATACATATATACATGTTGTTACTCTATAATTTTTCTTTTAAAAAAACTTTATTCAATCTTAACACAGCAAACACGCAATATTTATGATTTATCAATATATTGATGCTTATCACTGTTCTTATTATTCGAAACAACATTAAGTTTATGTATTTGTATTTATAGATAGATGTGAGAAGTTTTTATCTTATTCATATACAAAAGATGCACATATTATGAATATTACTTGGTTATAGTGTACAACAATATGTGACGTAGTTCGTGATATTATTCAAGTAAATTTAAGTAATAATATATGTGTAAAATTGTATGCACATTTGTAGAACAAGTTTTGGATAATATTAAACAGAGACAAAAAAAATTGTTGCCTTTTTTTTTTATCAGGGTGAAAATTGTTGCAATAAAACGCACCGTGGTTTTAACCGATATATCTAAAGTGCGCGAATCAGGATTATAGTTACGTTCAATGATAACGCGCTATCATCCGCAAAGCGCCGACAGCATGCGTCGTGTGACGTCACGGCCACCTAACGGAAATGAACCGAGAGCAAGCGAGGAACAACATAATCGCGAAAAACGGAGATGTCGTGGATCTATTTCCGAACACGTTGTCCCGGGCGAAGAAGACAGCAGATCAGTGGAAAATGGCGAGTGTGATGGTTGTGCGAGGGTGATCGTGTTACCGATTGACAACTGTGTTCCATACATCAGGTGTTAAGAGAGAGAGAGAAAAACACATTTTATTTGATGTGTCACGGTGAATGCGCGACTGTCACGCTCGCTGCTGCTCGCAAAGGACCAAAAAAAGCAATTTCGCGCAACGGTGGTTAACAGTGGTTGCAAAACGCGCTGATCGTGACCCACGGTCGATTATCGGCGATCGCGCGTGACACGGGGTGATACCACGGTGAATCCTTGTCAACTAATCCACGATAAGTGTCCGTTGCACATAATACGATGAGACGTGTCGTCGAGTTGTGTTCGCTGACTTTTTCGCGCGCGAACGTATTCCGCGTCTCTCAACGTCATTCTTGAATGATCTGCTCGAGGTTACAAGTAGTAATGCGTTTGACGTTTGACCAGCGGACGAACGTTGATCGAGGTGGCTCACAATCAAGTCGCGTTCCGCAAGTCTGGCAAATGGACGGTGCTCCGATTGACACGATAGTCGAATTGTCGGTTCAGAGATGCGCGCTCCACGGTTCTCTTTAACGTTGATGTTTCACGCGTTAGGATCCGCTTTTAACTGGCTGTGAAAAGTGCAACGTAAATACACACAATCAATCCAAAGAGTATGCATTTTCTTATTTCTGTTACATTCTTTTAGCTTTTTAAGTATCGTACAATATTTCTTAGGATTTTATCAGGCAGTAAAATTCATTATTATTTTGAAGAATATATTTAAATTATTTAATGTTGTGTGTGTTGAAAAGTGTCAGAGAAGTAGACTTCTGTGCAAGTGAAATATGTTATTAATGATTCTATCTTTCTTGAAGCTGAGCCAATAAACAATGACATTGCTTCTTTTTTTTTTTTTTTAAATACATTGTTGCAATATTAATCTTCTTTGTGTTATTTTTGTAGGTAAATAAATATTCTTATCTAAACGCACCTGGTCAAAATGGATCAAGAAACGGTGTATGGTACGCACGAGGATAGTCATGTTGTCATGTCAGAGAAGGTACAGTCTCTGGCAGGCAGCATCTATCAAGAATTTGAGAAAATGATAGCAAGATATGACGAGGATGTAGTGAAAGACTTAATGCCGCTACTAGTCAATGTGTTAGAATGTTTGGATATATCTTATACCGAAAATCAAGAACGTGAAGTTGAATTAGAATTATTAAGAGAAGATAACGAGCAGCTTGTTACACAGTACGAAAGAGAAAAGCAATTGAGAAAAGCTTCAGATCAGGTAATTATTCTTTTTTTTTTTTTTTTTTTTTTTCAAGTATTTCTTATGCTCTGCTTCAAATGATGCAATATTTTATATTCGTTATATAAATACGTTTATATTAGAAACTTCTTGAACTGGAAGATGTTTCGGAAGATGAGAGAAAGGAGCTTCTATCAAAAATTGATAGCTTGGAATCCATTGTAAGAATGTTGGAGCTGAAGACTAAAAACTCACACGATCACGGTACAAATGCCATTGGCGCTTCCAGTCTACCAATTCACAGTTCTTCTCTTCACAGTAGAGTAGAAGATTTTAGTTCTTTGTTTTATGTTTTTTTGTGCACACATTAGGTTTGGTTTTTTTCCCCTGAACTGGCTGCACTAGTTCACAGTCTATCTTTTTCTTTCTAATATGGATAAAAAAAGATAGACTGTAAACTAGTGCAGCTAATTCAGGGAAAAAAAAACAAACCTATTCACACATGTGTATTTTCCATACATTCTGATCGTAGTTGTGTGAAAATGCAGAATTTAGTATATTATCAATTTTGTCTATATATTACTTGCTCACCATTGCTCTCTCATATCAGTTTGTATATATTTATTTTCAGTGTTATTTTTGTGTTGTAATTTATGTCTCATGCTTTTTGATAAAGGCATTTCTTTTTATGCTTCGATGATAAATGTTTACTGTACAAAGCAAATGTCTTTGTTCAAGTTGAAGTTGTTTCTTGCTTATATACATTAGTAGTTATTAATAAGTGTGTATCCATTGAGCACAATCAGATATGCTTTGCTTTTAAATGATACCTTTTTAGTTGGTCGATTGGAAGAGAAAGAAGCTGAATTGAAACGCGAGTATTCTCGACTGCATGACAGATACACGGAGTTATTCAAGACACATGTCGACTATATGGAAAGGACTAAAATGTTGGTCGGCAGCACGGAAAGATTGGAGAGTGTTTCTGCTAGTCGCGCGCCGTCGCGATTACCTTCTCTTGGACTTGCTCATATGTCGCGTAGTTCCGGACCGTTGAGCTACGGCTTCCAAAGCCTGGAAGCTAGCATAAATGCCGATGATGTTCACGAAGATATTGTACCAAATGCCGCTAATTTAAGAACCGAGATGTTGGATAGCAGCAGCGAGGCCGCTATCGAAACATCCGACAAGAGTCAACTGACTGATCAACCGTTACAAGAAAATAAGACTACAGCTATATCTAGACGTACGTTGTATCTAATGATATCTTGTAATAAATTTTTTTATCGTATTTTTTTACCTTTTTCTGGTGAAAATTTTTATTTTACTGCACAGACGAAAGTCCAGAAACAGAAGTACCGCCAACTTTAATAACACCAACTACTCCGACTGCATATACAGAGAAGTTAGCTACTACACCAAGCGGTAGAAGTAGAACTGAACGGGAACAACGAAGCGGGAATACGTTGTATCAAGAGTTAAGTTTTCAGGACGCTGACGCTTTAGGTGAAATGGACGAGGGTGCAGATATTACCGGTATTATTTTGTTTGTATTGATTTCAAGTTTGTTTTTTTTCTCTTTTTTGGCAAAAAAACTAAACCGATATAATGTTGAAATTTTAGGAAGTTTAGTACATCCCGGAGAATATGCATCATCAGGTATATTCAATATATCAATTTGCAATTTTTTTTGCGAGATATATACATGTATGTATTACATCTTTTGAATTAACTTTTTTAACATATGTTTGTATTTTATTGTTCGCCTCCGTGTCTTACGCTGGCTCGTGTCGTACTTTCAACACGCGATTGCATGACTAACTCGTTGCAGTCAATGACAACTTCTTCGGTAAGATAGACATTACTAATAATATTTTTTCATGTAATATAATGTACTCAATGTAAAAAATACATCTTTTTTAAGAATTACTATCATGTTAAGATCAGATTACAAGAGTCATTTTCACCACCATGCTTTCCGTATAATAATAATAATTATAAATGATATATGTATACAATTTTCCAAACCTATTATCTATTATCTAAATAGTCTATTCTTATTTATTTATAAAGTTATTGTATTATATTGTTACATAACTTATTTATCTTTCCAGGAATGGGAAAGGAAGTAGAAAATCTTATTATGGAGAACAATGAATTATTGGCAACAAAGTAAGTTTTTCATTGTTTATACAGCAATATACATCCTTATTGTATATGTTAGTAGTTTAATGTTGGATATATTTTCTTTGTAGAAATGCTCTTAACGTTGTCAAAGACGATTTAATTGTTAAAGTGGATGAATTGACCAGGTAAACAACTCTCGAAGCCTTTTTGTTGACAAAAATAAAATCGTAAATGTAAAAGTTTTTAGATATTAAACAAAAATTGTGATATTTCAGTGAGCAAGAAATATTGCGTGAAGAAATTCGAAGTTTGCAGCAGGCACGAGATCGATTGCGACAACGAGTCGCTGCTCTTGAAGAAGAACTGAAAAAAGTTAAAGAGGAAGCAGAAGCGGCAGCGAAAGCGACAAAGAGCGATGACGAAGAAGATGTACCTCTGTCTCAGAGAAAGCGATTCACCCGAGTTGAGATGGCGAGAGTTCTCATGGAACGTAATCAATATAAGGAACGTTTTATGGAACTTCAAGAAGCTGTCAGATGGACCGAGATGATAAGAGCCAGTAAGACCGATCCTTCCAGCATCTCAGGCGGAAAAGGTTCTGTGTGGAAGTTGTACGTATCGATCGGTTTTTGTTGTACCAAACCAAGAAATTTTATAAAAAAAAAAGAGAATAATTAAAAAAGAAGATTAGTAATTCTGTTGTTCTTTTTTTCTTTCAGTTTTAGCAATCTCTTCACAGGTCCGGCCGATCGAGGGACGCTAGTGCGTTCCGCGCACACGTTACCGCATGTGCGGTACAGCGCACCGGCGAATCAGGTCGTACCGGCGCCACCCCTGGATGCCATGCGTAGACGTACGTTAAAAAGTCGCCAAGACTTTCTCGACCAAGGAGACACCATGTGAGAAATCAATCAAATTTTACTACATGCACGTAGATATACATATAAAGGTCGATCTGACACATCAAGAGATCTGCCTAATTTTATTCTGTTAAACTTTTGTTTTTTTTCTTGTTTTTTAATTAATTTATGCTTTCTTTCTTTTGATCATCTCATTCACGTCAGTAATTGGATCTTGACAACGTGAGTCTAAAACGTATTATAAAAACATTAAAAAAATCTCTAATAATAGGATTTGACGAATCTGCGTTCTCATTTTGTCTCGACAATAATTCTCGCGAGTAGACAATTTTTATTAAAATTTTAATAAATTGTATTTTATTGAAATTGTAATAATAAATGTGTAAAAATATTTTTTGCAATGAACAGAAAATTGGGGCAGAATCATTTAAAAAAACATTCAGTATAACTGTCTGAATTGCTCATCTTTGCAGATTAGAATCTTCTTTGGTCAATTGGGATCCGTAATCTTTTGTCACAATTCACGGTATTAGTTTCAATTGCACTAAAGAGACGTGAGTCTTTGCTAAATAATTTTTTTCCTATTAACGGACGAATTTGTGCGCATTAATGCAGTACATGTGTTAATCATTTTTGCTTTATTTTGTAATTTATATCCAGTTTTAACAATAGTTTAAAATAAAACTTTTACACAATTTAATTACGTTATCTCCGCATTTTCATGTGAAATATTTGTTGTTGCGACATCAATTAATCATTCTTTCTTTTTCTTATTCGATTTTTATACAAAGAACTGTATTTATCTTTATTTCTTTCACAAAAGTCATTAAATTTTATCAGACTATAGCATGGCTTGTATTACGATAACACATACATCGTTCACGAAAGTGCAACACATCATGCCAAGAGTTGCGCTTCAATTATGTTATTAGGTAGATTATCAATCATTTAAATAGATAATCAATTTTTCAAGAATGTTCGAAACAAAGACAGAATTTTGTAAATACGAATTTGTACAACTTTTGGAAAAATAATAATATGCGATCATTATTGATCAAAAGAAATAAATGACGTTTTGATTATGTTATGAAAAAAGAGAATGGCCTTTACTTCACACTTGTTACTTGTGCTTTTGGCCTTTTGTTATTCGGATTTCGTCCTTGCCTATCCCCTCGTGGCGTGGTCAAGAGATACCTGGTTTTTCTGGCTTCGGGTGGGGTGCTTATTGGTCAGCAGGTAAATCTGTTCTCTCTTCCCTCTTCTACCCCTTTCTGCTTCTCAACATCAGACTTTAAGAGAAGTGCGATAGTAGATGTATCTGTAAATGACATAAATGCGTTAACAAATTCGCAAGAACGAGATTATTGATTGCTGGCTGTGAATATCAGAGAAGATGGAATCAAATGGTTCGAGGATGTATTGGTGAAATGGATGGTCGGACGAACAGTCGACATTTACATACTAACTCGGAAAAGTTACAACATAATCTCTCCTCTCGCTCGAAGCTTTCGGAAAAATATGCGATAATTAATGTGTTGTATCGTCTTTACAGATCGTCCGAAAAGCTCGTAGCAAGACGTGCGAACGAACGAAGAGAACAGTATCGTCAAGTGCGAGCGCATGTAAAGAAGGAGGATGGTCGCCTGCAGGCTTACGGATGGAGTTTACCGGGGAAACCGAGTGCTCCTGTCAGACAACCACCTGTTCCCGTTCCAGTGTATTGCCGACCCCTGCAGGAAACCGAACCGGGCATGAAAGTACGTATTGCAATTTCTTAAATTGACGAAGAGAAACTCGATAAACCAAAACGTCGTCGATTTCGTCAGATCTGGTGCGGCGCCGGTGTGAATTTGAGCGGCGGTAAGACGCGCGACGGCGGATGCATGATCGGCGGAAGTGTATTTTACGCCGCCGAAGCCCGAGAAACGAGCAACAACAAAACAGAGGCTGAAGACGCGGTCGAGCACCTTGACAAGGAACTCCAAGAGAATGAAAGCCAACGGCTTGAGGCGGAACGATGGGAGCAACAACTCAGTTCGCTCGTTTGGATCTGCACCTCGACGCAGAAAATGTCGAAGGTCACCGTGATAGACGCAAACAATCCGGCGGACATTCTGGAGGTGTTCAACGTCTGTCAAGGGCACTTGCTGTGTATTGCGAGCGTACCCGGTGCCAAAGAGAGCGATTACGCACAGTCCTCAAACGAGAACTCGATTCGTAACTTGACGAATGACAACGAGAACAATAACGGTGCTTGTGAGGATGTTACGAATGCGAATGAGAATATCGAGCAAAGTGATCAAAAAACTGCTCAGGATACTGACACAGCCGTTGACAAAAATAAGAGCGAGTCCGATGATCAGTCGGAGGACCAAGCAAATGAGAATACCGAAAAGGTTACCGAGGATCAAAACGAACCGCAGAGTTTAGAAAGTATAGATAGCGAAACCGCGAACTTGGGTAAGGTACATTTTATACGATGCAGTGCGGATGCGCATTTTTCGCGATTGAACGACAAGAGTGCTGTGAACGAGAAAGCGAAGGAGGAAGTTACCGAAGATACACCCATCGAAAAGATGTCGTCAGTGCAACCGACCATGTGGCTCGGAGCTCAAAATGGTGCAGTTTACGTTCATTCGGCCGTCGCTAAGTGGTCAGTGTGCCTGCATTCAGTAAAACTGAGGGATGCGGCGCTAGCTATTGTGTACGTAGACTAGAATTTCTTTCTAATCTAGATTCTTACTTGTAAGTCAAAAGCTTTTTTTTTTTTTTTTTTTTTTATCAGACATGTCCAAGGTCGAGTGTTGGTTGCTCTGGCGGATGGGACAGTGACAATATTTCGCCGAGGTGCGGACGGACAGTGGGATCTGTCCCAATATCACGTCATTACGCTCGGTAGTCCTCAGCATTCCATCAGATGTATGGCCGCGGTCAGCGGGAAGACTGTGTGGTGTGGATATAGAAACAAAATCCACGTGATTGATCCCATTTCAATGACGCGTGAGGTATAAACTTGAAATAAATTATATATCCACAAAAGAAACTGAGGATAAAAAAAGAAATCGAATAAATCGGTAACAAAAATAAAATGTTTTACAGTGCACAGTGGATGCACATCCTCGCCGGGAGTCTCAAGTACGACAATTAGCGTGGTTGGGTGACGGTGTGTGGGTCAGCATCAGGCTTGACTCGACGTTAAGACTCTATCACGCTCATACGTACCAACATCTTCAAGATGTCGATATAGAACCGTATGTCAGCAAAATGCTTGGCACTGGAAAACTTGGATTTTCTTTCGTGCGTATTACTGCTTTGCTCATTTCCTCGAATAGACTGTGGATCGGTACCGGTAACGGAGTGATAATCTCGGTGCCGCTATCGGAAAGTAAGTCAAAGAAACAAATTATTAGAACGTTGACACGTTTGCTAATACTGTAACGCTTGCTGCAGGTGCAGGTGGTTCAATGGCCGTGGCTAGAGTGCAGACAAACAGCAATAAAGGCGATGCACCGGGAGTCGGGGTTAGAGTCTTTGCATCAGATCGAGGTGTCACACCAGGAAGTTTCATACCATACTGCAGTATGGCTCATGCGCAGCTCAGTTTTCATGGACACAGGGATGCCGTGAAGATGTTCGTTGCTGTACCTGGTGAGTCTTGAGCAATTGTGTGATCAATTTATCTATCGTTTGTGTGAATTATTACATAAAAAATCTAATATATTGCATAGAATATTCTTCTCAAGTAATTATTAGTTTTAAATCACATTTTCATTTCCTTTACAGGTCATGGTGGGCAGAGCGCGGTAACAGACGGAACGCAGCCCGCGATGCTCGTTCTTTCGGGCGGTGAAGGTTACATCGATTTCAGAGTTGGTAAGTAAATTTTTGCAATATTCGTCGAGGTATATTATCTCTTGTGATTTACTTTAATAATATAGAAAAAATTTAATTTTTATTGGAAAGAATATCAAATAAAAACTTATTGTTTGAATAATCGGTATTATAATTTCAGCGGATGAAGCTGAGGACGAGAGTGATGTGGCAACACACCTAATTGTGTGGCAGATGGTCAGGTATGCCCCCAGAGAGAAGCAAGAAGTGATTCGTATATACATATATTTCAATTTTTAAAAAATCAATATTTTCTTATCTGTCTTGACAAGTATATCACGTCATTGGTGCATTAATCTTTTAAATCTTTACTAACAGAACATATATCTATATTTCCTGCTGTTGCACGGTACTTGTTCGCAACGAAGATAGAACTAACAGCATTCTTTATATTTCTTATATTCTCTACATTGAAATGACTGTAGAATAAAATTTGTACAAATTGCTTGCATATGCAGTCATATATGATTGTGGGATACCAAATTTATATACGCATATTTATATATTGCATATCTGCAGAGACATTAAGAACAAGTGCAAAAGAAGGACAGACTTCTTACACAATATACTTACAGTCATTGCGCTTCTTTTATTCTCTGGGGGTTGGGCTTCCCACCTGTCATTGTCTTGTATAGAATACCATTTTGTTTTCCTCAATGAAACATTTGTTTTTGATAACAAATAACGCGCACGAAATCGCTATTTTTTCAGGTGATGGAGAAGAAACGGAAGAAAACATAGACCGATCAAACGCTGCAGTCAATAATGCGGAAGAACACGGCGAGCAAAGTCACTTGATCGTGTGGCAAGTGCAATGTCCCTTTTCGATGCCGGTGAACGGCTAGCCTATGAACGTGTCGGACGAATCGCTGGTCTGCAGCGCGGCTTTATATGTGTCAACGGATCCTGGAATTACGAATTATCGGATTGTAGATCGCGCATCGCTGAGACCTGGGCGAGCGGTTCTCGTCGCTGCGACTAACCAATGTGCTACCTATACTTAGATATGCTTATATAAATGATCATAGCAGCGTACGTTAAGAATTCCCAAAGTAACTTATCACCGATCGTTTGCGTTAGCGGAGCGAAGACGACGAGATGTCGAGTTGTTGGTTTTTAATTCACGAACTGAATTATTTTAATATTCAGCGGAAGCGCAAACTCGGCGTGTAATAAACTTTTGCATGTGTTAAGACTAGGAATATTTTATAGACGCGACTCGAAATCTGCCAACTCTGACGCTAATTATCTTTCGCTTCTGGTTAAGTCGCGTTCCTCAAACTTATGTACGTAAAGATCGGGTTCTCTGAACAGTATATGCCGAGAGATCTTTTTTTTCTTTCGTGACGAGTGCTCTTTTTAGGAATATCATGTTTTACGAATGGGAGGAAGTTAATGTTATTCCCGCCGATCACATTGTGATAATGCTACAACTTGTACACGTGAGATAGAACAAGAATGAATTTCGAAGCTGCCGTGTAATGTTTGCCACGTTTCTGCAATAAATTTATTCAATTTATTCGAATGCACTTCGCATATTGTACCTGCCGGGAGGAGGATCGCAAGAATATCTCTCCGTTATTTCTTGCTTGTACGCGGAGAATGTAATAAGGTGCGTGCAAACTCAGGCAGATATTTCTATAAGCATAATGTTAATATTAATTTTCTGTCGGAGAGTATATTATTTTCCTGACTTAAAAAAACAAAAAACAAAAAAAAACAAATAGATTTTATCCGCGTGCATCGTATATCGAGCTAATTATTAATATAACATAATAAACTTAATATATATATATATATATATATATATATTATATATTAAATTATACATAATATACATATAGACTCTCTCCTCTCTCCTTTTCTCTTTTTGAAATAAGAATTGTTAGATCATGCTTGGTGAAATACATTGCGGATTTCCACACGAGTAGTAGAAGCGCCACACTGCGATGTAAATAATGTGTTTGTATAGATTGTAGAATTTTACTCGGTTATTTAAAAATGTCCTTTCGAAATCGTTTCACAGCAAGACCCGTTCATTCGTTCTCGCAACTTTACAAACTTCGTTCTACCAAAGAAATAAACCGACCGATCGATCTGCTGAGATCGTGCTGTATTATATTATTTAACAACGAGAATTTATGCCTCGAAGAAAAGAGTGCTTGAAAAAATAAGAGGTATGACACGCACCAAATTAATAATTTTATAAAATTCCTATATCGCGGCGAAAAATCCATTAATTTAGAAACGTATAAAAAAAAAAGCTACGCATTATCGTGCGAGCTGGCTTTTACTGTCGAGCTCGGAATTGTACCTGGCTCAGGTGACGTTGTAACGGCATTAATAAATAAAGTTGCAGAACTAAAGTCTCTTTGTACATATCACGTCGAAATTCCTTTTTAGAGCGATTCTCTTTCTTTCTTTCTCGCACACGACTGTAAAAACTTTTAACTAATCACAGTTTCGGTGCAACTTAGTGCTGCCCCAGTGCAAAAAAGAACAAGATCTTTTGATTCAACCTACGACCATCAATCCGAAAACCTGTTTAAGAATTCATTGTCTGGGAATAAAAACATATAATTAGTAATTAACACAAGATTATAAATGGCGGTATTTCTTCTATGTATAGTTTTAGTTCATAGGAGCGCAAGATTTTTATTCTTACTAACTTCATACTAATTTCAGGTAACATGTGGTGCACTGATTAATCGATACATATTTCCTTAAAACTATTTTCAAACCGCAACGATTTTCGCAAGAGACGTGAAGTTCGCAACGAGTTTCGCAAGAGACGTGAAGTTCTATTTGTGAACTATCAAGATGCTCGTTCAGCGGATGCACTCGAATTTTCGCGGATTTGGTTAACTTTACTGATTTTCATGTGCTTGAAACGATGTTCCTGATTATACAGAGAAGTCCCAAAGGTGAGCCATATTTTATATATTTTAATACCTCTTGTATGTACTTGTAAATATTTATATAATGTTTTTGTACGTGTGCTTGATAGGATACAAATAAAGAAGCAATATTTAAATTGTTTTTTTCTTTTTTTGTCAATTGTCACTGATCTAATTTCGTCTAAACTTTAGAGATCTAAGTAATTACTGTGGATCGAGAATGTCAAAAGTGTGTTTGAAACTGGCGTGTCTCTTTCACACGAGACCGCCTTTTCGTCGACGTGAAGTCGCCGCGTATCCCTCCCCATCGTTTTTCTTTAGACGCGATAAAAGCCCGCTGTCATTGCCGGCAGCCAGTTACAACTTGTTGTTACGTCGCTACGAAGCGTCGACACACGCGTACGCAATAGACAATCGTCGCAGCACCGCGTTAACTCCTCCCGGAGCGTTTTCGATTAGACACTACAACCGCACGAGAAAACCTACCGACAAGATGTCTTGCCCGGTTAGAGATCCGGCGTCGGAGCAGCTCAACGATTACAGGAAGAAAGTCAAGGTAACATCGTGGCTTTTGGATTTTACGCCTGTGATTATGACACGCAATGACGCAGTGGTGCTCAACTTCTGTACACGCACAAAAGATCATTATCTCCTGAAAAGAGATATCATATTCCTTCTGTTATGAAATTGCATAATACTTATAGGATTGTCCGGGATAGATAGTCCAAATGTCCGAGATTAGCCAGGACAGTCCGCGATTTTAAAAAATAAGTGATTATAAAAGTTGAAGTATAAATTATTAATTTATAGAAGCAAAACAATATATAACTTATAAATCGTATGGTTTCTCAATATTGAAATTAACTTTTCATAAAACATTTGGGATTATCTTTTCTAAAATATAGTAATCCTAATAATACTTGGATAGATTCGCATGTAACGATAGCGGAAAATTCGAGAGATAGATCTATCGCAGATAGATTGCTATTATTATAAGCTCCGATTTGAGCACAGTTAACGAGTTGATTCAATTTATGTTAATATGTAATATTTTCTGCGAGAAAAAGAACACTTTTTTTTTTTTTTTTTTTTGACTAAAGTAAATATGTGAAAATATATTTTACAATCTTGCTGTTATATGTATACAACCGACTTGAGTAGCGTGCTATTAACACATAAAAGTAGAAAAAAGTAGGACAATTGGAAACGCACACGATAATCGATCTACTGTATATGTCTTTATCTCATATCATACAATAGAAAGGTTGTATTCGTCAGGATTATTAGTAGATGTAGCACAGTATTTTTTTATATTTTAATAAAAAGTTGCGATGTGTGTACGATGTAAAGAGTTTCACAATGCAAATTAACGATAATCATTTATCATTGCAGCAGTACTAAATAAAAAGATACAGATTTACCGATAACGCGAACGGAGTTCAAAGTACGTTGTGAAAGATATTTGTCACTTAGAACGCACTTTCTAATATGTACACAATAATGTTATACAAATTTTTCAAGATAAGCAAGATATTAACTTCATTTTAACGAAGTACTTAATTATTTTATGTTGTATTTATATTTTGTATATTTTTATATTATATTTCTCACAGTAATGATTTTATATATATTCTTTGATCGTTGAAATATTGTTTTAGATAAAAGCGATAATGCTCACCTTTTTTATGTACTTTGAGATCCAAAAAATAACGCAGCGCTACGTGTACGGCGTGATAAGAACATATTTGCTATGGAAATGCATGCAATTTATTTACATAAAAGGAATATTTAAATGTTATTTTTAGAGATATTTCTACCCATGCTAGAAAAAGACAAGCACGTTAGTCAGTATGCATAAGTCAGTATGCTGGTAATCGAAATGTGTTAAGAAAGATGCAATAATTAAAAATAAATTATACTCATAAAAAAGTTTTTTTTGCACAAATCAGCGTCTTAAGATGAACTTAGGACGATCTTGAATATACAACTCAAACTATGAGTAATATAAATGTCAGTCTGTTTACACAAAGCGCGCTTACAAATATAATTATCACAGCATATCGGAACTTTAGACTTCTCAGCCCACAATTATTATCTTGATTTCTTTAATTGTTTTGGATAAGAAGATGATCTTATCACCTTCGTAAAAATGATAATCGATAGAAAAGCGATTGTCGCGTCAATAAAGTTTTTGCAGCGATTTATTTTGCAGAATAAATAACGTGTTTCGATATCTTAATGTTGAAAATAACTAAAGCCGCGTCACTGTGGCGTGACAAGTTAAAATATTGCCTCGAAGATCGATAATTTCACACTTTCATTTTTAATCGCATTTATCTGATTAAATCAATATAACGATTGATTACATTCTCAAATTGCTCATCTTGCGATTTATCCATAAACTAGTATTAAGCTTTCTGGTATGTAAATTATATACGCGCGAGTAAAATATAATTCGCGCGTATGTACGCACAAAATATTTTTAAATGCCGGTGCACTCGAAATACAGTACATATATCTGGTACTTTCTCTGTTAACTTTTAAGCAGTTCGCGATGAGAAACTAGCGTTTTCTAATTTAGAGAAAAAATATACCACACAAAGTCGCTTGTGACACAACTGGCTTTTCAGATGCAAACGATAATTGCAGTAACAAGATGTCGAAGTGGGCCGACGTTCTTGATGGATAGATAGGATTTCGTAAGACTCATTTACAGGTCCTTGCGCACCTACCTATCGGCGAGCAAGATTACTTTTATCATGTTACACGAGTTTATCGCGATTTTTATCGTTATAAAAAGCGTGCTTGCTGTTTTAGTTAGTTTATTAGCGAAATGAGTAGTGACAAGGCGTGTTCCGCCCGTCGTGGTTTCTCCTTTGCGTTTTGGAAAAAAAAGAAACCTAAGGGAAAACCACCTAATGACAAATCTAAGGAAAAAGAATTTAAAAAAGAACCTGATGAAGGCTCAAAGGAAGAACTGTCCAGGAGAATATCCAATTGTGTAAACAATTACATATATATATATATATATCTGTGTTTTTATCAATGTAGAATCTTATTACATTATCTGTTATTAGTCGCGCAATCTCCAATCCTATATTTGCAATTGACTTTTTGCAGGAGGCACCTGTATTGTTGACCGCAAATGGAGCACCCATTGCGGAGAAGAAGGCTACTCTGACAGCCGGTCCTCGTGGGCCTGTTTTACTGCAGGACTTCGTTTACTTGGATGAAATGTCGCATTTCAACAGAGAGAGAATTCCGGAACGAGTCGTGCATGCCAAGGGAGCCGGTACATGTTTCTCTTCCGTTTTATAACGTTCGCGAAGTAAAAGTTTCGGGAAGACCTTGTAAAAGATCTTCGATTCTTTTTCATGTCAAATGCGAGACTGTCCTACTTCATATCCCGCTCGCTTTTGATGCACTTTTTCCTTCTTTACAAAGTCTATTGAAAAAAAATGTCTATCTCATGTGAGAACATTTCAGAGACTTACAAGCAATTCACTATTGTATATATGTGCGATTTTTATTTTTTTCTCTCCAATTGATTTAATCGATTTTAATTTGCTAACTTTTTGTAATATGTTTAGGCGCGTTTGGCTACTTCGAAGTTACGCACGACATCTCCAAGTATTGTAAAGCTAAGGTGTTTTCCAACATCGGAAAGAGAACGCCCATTGCTGTAAGATTCTCCACTGTTGGTGGCGAGAGCGGTTCTGCTGATACAGTCAGGTAATAATAAAACATAAAGAAAACGCTAATATTGCAATGAGTATTACTCAAACTGACTTTGTCGAAACGCAGATTAATTTAATAAATATGTTTATATGGACAAATTGAGCGTCTAATATACTAAAGTTAGACGATGTGTGCTAAGATTAAGAAAATAACACGCGCGTTAGAAATTCATTGTGAGTGTATTAGTAAATGATGTAATGTGTTAATTAACCGCATGTACTGATTATTCGTGAAGATTGAATCAAACATCCGTAAGAAGTTTCCAGTTTAATCTTTCACTTTGTTCTTCGTCCTTCACGAAAAATTATATGTTTCATCGAAATTAATATGATGCGATCAATTTTGTGTAAATATTTGCAAGTTTTTTTTATCATCAACTGAAGCACACACATACATATGCGCTTGAATCACGTTTCTACGCCTCTTTAGTTACGTGAGTGAAGCAAATGTACATACGTAACACTCAAGTGTTCTACGCGGTAGAATGATTTTCCACTATCGCAACATGCTGCAATAGGAAATATGATTCACAATAATTGGCTTTCATTTTTTTGAATACCACATTGCTTAGTTCATACAGTTAATTTCAACAGGCAAAATATATACGCACAATAAAGATAACACATAAAGTTTCTCACATGTATGCGTTTTCCAATTATCGTTACAATATAAATTCTATTTTAGAGATCCTCGTGGATTTGCCGTGAAGTTTTACACTGAGGAAGGTATTTGGGATCTCGTCGGCAACAATACGCCGATCTTCTTCATCAAGGATCCGCTTTTCTTCCCAAGTTTTATACATACGCAAAAGAGAAATCCCGCGACGCACTTAAAGGTTCGTTCAAACGTAACCCGTTTGTAAATAACGACTTGTTTCTAACAATCAAGTTACATCATACATTGCGATGTAAATAGACGATGTCAAGATGAAATACACTTTCAGGATGCTGACATGTTCTGGGACTTTATCTCCCTCAGACCAGAATCAACGCATCAAGTCATGTTCCTCTTCGGCGATCGTGGCATTCCCGACGGATATCGCCATATGAACGGCTACGGTTCTCACACGTTTAAGCTGGTTAACAGCAAAAACGAGATGGTCTACTGCAAATTCCACTACAAGGTTTTCTTATTTTAAGTTAAAACAAACATAGCACTTTTTAAAAATATTTATATTTTTATGTAAATCTTATACGCAATTTACATTTATATATTTATATAAAATTTGTTATGAATAAATTTAACGATAATATATAATATACACAGACTAATCAAGGAATCAAGAATCTCCTCGCGGAGAAAGCAGCTGAGATCAGTGCTTCTGATGCCGATTACTCGATCAGGGACCTTTACAACGCCATCGCCAAGGGCCAGTATCCATCCTGGACGCTGTACATTCAAGTGATGACTGCTGAACAAGCCAAGACCTTCAAGTGGAATCCGTTTGACTTGACAAAGGTAAATCTTAATTCAATTGATATATTCTACAATGAGTGAGTACGTATACAGTGCAGTTTTCGAAAACTAAGTATAAATTGTTTATAGATATGGTCGCACAGTGAGTATCCGCTGATACCAGTAGGCAAATTAGTGCTGGATCGCAATCCTGAGAACTATTTTGCCGACGTGGAGCAAATAGCTTTCGATCCGGCGCATATGGTACCCGGTATCGAGCCGAGTCCTGATAAAATGTTGCAGGGTCGACTTTTCGCTTATGGCGACACTCACCGACATCGTCTGGGTCCGAATCATCTTCAATTGCCGGTGAATTGCCCGTACAAGGTGAGTAGCGCTGTTTGTAATGTTTTAATATCGTACTTATAAGATTATATATACCTATCATTACATTAGAATAGAAAAAGAAAACCATTTGGTTGAAATAGCAGTTTTTTTTTTTTTTTTTTTTTTTTTTTTTTTTTTTTTTTTTTTTTTTTTATCTTTTAGGCAATATCCGCAATGCACTATCAACGGGACGGTAACATGGCGATATACAATCACGGTGGAGCGCCAAATTATTTCCCGAACAGTTTTTCCGGCCCACAAGAGTGTCCGGCGGCTCGTTCTCCGCTGTTCCAGGTGACGGGGGACGTAGTAGACCGTTACGATCCCGTAGATGAAGACGACTTCGGCCAGGTCACCATCTTCTGGAAGAAGACTCTCGACGAGCCTGCCAGAGAGAGATTGGTGCAAAACATGGTCGCGAGTCTGCACAACGCCTCTACGTTTATCGTCGAGCGAGCTGTGCGAAACTTCGCTCGTGTGGACGTCGATCTCGCTCAGAGATTGACGGACGGCTTGCGCAAGAGCGGAATTCAAATCAATGCCCTCGGAAAATCGGCTAATCTTTGAAAAGAATGTATTCGTTTTTTGTAACAATGTATCTTACTTTGAACTAATTGAACGCGTTTGTCAAATTGTCTTATGGAAAACATTTCTTTTCTCGCAATAAATTTAAATATATCGTTCTAAAAGTTTAAGATAACACTAACATGTGTAATATATATAATTTTATGAGGTGTTGGTGTGATAAATTATCGATGTCTTCAAGATAACTTCTATAAAGAAAAAAATTGAAAAAAAAAAGTGTATATATATATACATATATTAATATTGCCTAACTTTTATGAAAACACAGATACAACGATTATTGATGTTGACTTGGTATACAACTATTTTTTAGAATTTGTGCTACTTCTTTTGTTTTGAAAGAAATACGTTTATGTATGTGTGGAAGACTTATATAAATAAAAACGTTTAAATCACATCATGTCGACAAATATATCGCATCCCAATGAGTTTCTTGTTTTTTTTGTTTTTTTTGTTTTTTTAACGAAAAGATGAAAAGAAGTGCCGATTTTACCTTCGCGCGATTCAAGGTAGATCAGCGATGAGTCATTCTACCAAGTAGGGTAACTTGTGTGCGACAAAGAGTTATTTCGACCACACTTAAGACTTGCATTCAATACCACGTCGTTCTTATTCGTAATATTCTCGTCAAAAGGTTTGCAAAATCCGCAAAAGGTACGTTATTGTTATTGCAAACTTTTGTCTTTTTTTTTTTTACATTTGATAATTATAATAATAAACATAACGTCTTGACCTTTTTGTGGCTCCTAACTGTCCATACATAACGGCTAACACGTATAACTAATAACTAATCTGTTGCACATCGTGAAAATAGTTGCTTTTCACGCTTTTCATACTTGAAGCAACTCTCTAATTAATCAAACATTGCGCATTTTTCGGGAATGATACACTGTCTTACCTGTCTTATATACATCATGATTACTACCAGAAAAATGCTTGAGAGCGGCCAATCTGAATTAGCTTATATTTCTATTTTGTGGTTTAAATCTTTGCTAAATCGGAATATTTTTAGCAAAGACTTGAACCACTTTCGAAAATTCTAAACCTCTGTAAACCTCTTGTCACATTTTACATTCTTGCTAATAAGAGTTAAAAGTTGCGTCGTTCTGTCTTCTTCTGATAACGCCACTTTCTTCAACTTATACTTTTCTAATAAAATAAATGAAATTTTGTATAGAAAGACCTAAGAGCTTTTACTATAAAATTAGAATAACAAAATTCCAAAAGTTATAAAAACGTAAATTTTACATAGGAAATTATTTCGCCGAGAATTAAAAGATGTTCGTTCACATTCTTTGTCATCTCTTCAGTCTCAATATAGAAGCAACTCTCTAGTCAAATACTACGCATCTCGGAAATGATACACTTTGTCTTCTTACATTACACAGTTTTAGTTACTTTCTTTTTTTTTATATACACTTCATATACATTTTTTTTCTTCTTCCGCGCTTGCTACACTAAAATTGAACGCGCGCTTCTCTGCGCGCGACACTTCTTCCATGCGCTCCTTATTTGACAGTCCGAAATGTTGTAAGTATACAAACACAGCTGTTTTTCGTGCGGAATTAGTTTTGTGAGATGTTGTCAACGGTCACGCGTGTTTGCAGATAAATCTGATGTGTCGACAGGCTTGAAGGTGCAGGACGGCCGTTCATCTTTGCAGACTGCACCTGTTATATATATAATTAATTAACCTATACAACCGATTTAGGTAAACATCACAAAAAAAAAAAATGCAGTCGGAGTGTTTATCTCAGCAACTTGACGAGTGTTCTTTTTATAGAAACGGACTCTCTGACCTCTTTTTCTACGTAAAGCGTACAGTTTACTTACATTCTACCTTGGGGTGCAGATGATGCTACGGCCAAGTTTTTAAATAGTACATATAATACTGATATTAATACATTCAACATGCCAGACAGGTATGTACAAACTTTACGTCATCGTGATTTTTATAGAATTACTTCCTACTTTGTTTTGTGAATTACAAAATAAATTAAGATTTTGCGGTCTTAGCATCACATTCAATTGTTGTTAGAGATATTAATGGATTTATTTATTTTGATTGGATTTGATACTTATCATTGCTTGTCTAAATTCGAAATGATTCAATAAAATTTGATATTTTGTTAGGAACAAAGTTTTGATCGGTGCTGTGTGGGGTATAACCCTCTGCTGTCTTTTATTTAGTCGCAAGTTATTGAGACCCATGGCATTGTTAAATTTCATTCCTGCTATCTTATATCGGTCAGTTTATCTTTGTAACAAGACTAGTTTTGCAGAATTTTGCATGTGCTCTTTCTAATGAAGCAATAATCTTCAATTTTTCCCAATCAACTGTTGATTTAAATGTAATAATATACAATAATGCAATACAACAATAATCTTGTGTGTTATAATTCACATGTAAAATAATTTCTATTAATATATGTCCCTTTAGTATATATTCCTAATTGATCTCTTTATTTTGTATATATTTATAATATTTTGTGTTGCTTTTATACAGCAATCAAAAAATAGAAAATGAAGATGAGCAACAACAGAATACAAACAACGCTGGCACCTCAGTAAACTGTGATACTAATATAGATACAACTGCACAAAATAAAATGCAAAACAGGTATATAATATTAGAACACAATCATAAAACTGTAAAAACAATATTTTATTTTATTATGAAATGATTAGATTATCTTTTGTATTCACAGGCAACCACCATCAAATTTTATGATGAGCGGATTAACGGGAGCATCGCCTCCAAAATTCGTGTCTTTTGACGAAATTATCAAAGCTGCCAACGGGATGAAAAATATGGCCTTAGCACATGAAATCGCGGTAGATAAGAATTTTCAATTGCAAAAATTAGAACCGGAAGATGGTAGTTTTCATAGGCGAGTAAAAGAAATAATGCACAAAGCTTTTTGGAATCTGTTGGCGGAGCAGTTGGCCAAAAATCCGCCAGATTATTCGCACGCACTCGTTTTACTGAAAGAAATTAAAGAAGTAATCACACATTTTTGTTTATTTGTTATTCGGGACTCAGAATCGTTAAGTATCACACAATATGCTTCTTTCTATATACTTTTTAGTCGTTGGATGAACTTGTGCCACCGCAGAATTCAAGAATCAAAGAAAATGTTGGAGAAGTGCTCGATCTGGACTTGATCAAGCAACAAGCGGAGAAAAATGTGTTGAATTTTAATCATTATGCTCAATATATAATTTCTATTATGAGCAAAATTTGTGCGCCGGTCAGGGATGAGAAAATTCGAGAACTCTCGCAACAGACAGACATAATCGAGACGTTCAAAGGTGTTATGGAATTGTTACAGTTGATGAGATTGGATTTGGCGAATTTCACCATTACAATGATGAGACCAAATATCATCGCTTCTAGCATCGAATACGAGAAAGCGAAATTTGCCGAGTTTTTGAAAATTAATTCGAACGGTTTGCAATACACAGAAAAATGGTTACTGCGACATTTCAATCCAGAAAACATAGCGGAATCGTCAAGCGGCACTAATAACATAAGGCAAATTACTCATTTTCTAGTAACAGAAGCGTATCTCGATCTTTTGGAGTGGGATTTCAATCCAGATGCTGAAGTGAGTTATTGCGATATAAAATTTCATATTATGTACTCGATGTGTAGTTATTAAACTTTTGGTTTTTTTTGTTAGACGTTGATGTTGGATCAAGGGAGGCTTCTGGAATTACGAGACATCACCAGTAGATTGAGTATCGTTGGTTCTATAATATTATTGGTTAATAATACGATTGGTGCACCGATTCACGGAGTTTCGAGTTTTAAAAAGAATATTAAAGAACACCTGAATTCATTGTTGGACTCTGTACATTCAAACAAGTATGTTTAAGCCGTAATTTTGGCGAAAATTCTATTTATATTGCTTTATTGAACTAATTTGTCAATATAATGGCTTGCTTCAGAGATTTAGAAGCTGCAATGCCAAATATTATATTGCAAGTCAAAGCGGACGTCAAGATGACACTAAGAGAAGTCAGTGCTCCTGAAATGTCTCCTGAATTAGAGACATTGTTGGAGGGACAAATAACTGATCTCGTAGATACTAAACATAAGATCAGATATCTTGTCAGTAAGTGTGACATTACACTTGATAATTAACATGATGCTCAGCTGCGAACAAATATTGTTTCAGGTCTGCGGATCAGACAGTTTTTGCAAAAAATCATTCAGTCGCAGTCTATTGCACCTCAACAAGTACCGCCAGGCCTTTCCTCGCTACAAGAAGAGTTGACGGCTATTGCTGCTCGATTTGTAATACTTGTTTCGCATAATCGCAGCGTGTTCGGCGAATATTACCAAGATATTGTCGCAAGTGCGCTTGCGAGAAGCGACAATAACAAAGAGATACACGAAACCCACACTATGGAATTGTAAAAAAAAAGAAACAAAAAAAACCAATATGATTACATCTAAAAATAAATACACTTGAATTTTGTTATGCTCGTTTCTTAGATATGATATCTGTATTTCTTGCTACGTAAAATTAAGATAATTACGCGGAAGATATATTACAGATTAGTATAAATTTGTCCTTTAACTTTTTAGACCGACGAATTAACAAGATTTGTCATTCAACATCTCTTGTGAACCAATGAATTGTTTCTTGTTTATTTTAAGCGCCATCAAACTGAATCACCGAAATGCGAGTGTATACGATTTTTTATATTGATTATTTATATAATTATTTGATTGTATATATAATGAATAATATTCACAAATTATACATTGCAAAATTACTAAAATTAAAAAAAGATTACTTGTATTTATTCTTCACGGTCCGATCATGATTGCTAATAACAAATAGTGACAGGGCTATGTATCTTTTATTTAATTATATATAAGAAGAGTTTATATATGATTTAAAACTTTAATTTATGATATTTTGATTAATGGATATATATGATGAACGTAATTATTTTCTTCTTTAGTTTGTTTTTCTGATGTTCAAAAGAAATTTATATGAAATACTATACTTACACATCTACACTTACGTACAAAGTATGTTATTGTATATATGAGATGAGAGAAAATACGTGAGGGATATATGTACATATGCACATATAAATGCATTTAAGTACTTTATCATGTATGTATTTAATACTGTGGTTTCTCTAAATATCAAGGCCAATGTTATATTAATATTGCAAAAATATAAAAAAAAAAAAACAAAACGATTATTTACAATTTAACATTAAAAAAATGTTTTTATCTCATGTTTATGATGCCTATATTATTTGACATTCAGAATAACTTCTCGCGTACACACACACACACACTCACACAAACTTGAAAATATATAAATATAAAATTGAATATATATAAATAAAAATGTTTATTATCAATGCAGTTCTTAATTTTTTTTATCAGCCTGTTAAAAATAAAAAAGTACATTGCTTGCTAAAAAAAACCTCAACTTAAAGACGTTTCAAATTCCTTATGTAATTCTCAAAGGTTGCGATATGTTGTGTTTTCAGAAAATTTTGAAATCCTAGAAGTAGAAATATGTTTCTGAGTAGATTTCTTTTAATCTGTTTTGAAATTACTTTTCCTTTTTATTTTCTTAGTTTATTAATCTATAAAAACATATATTTTTACCTAGAAACAAATGCTGTAGCTGTCCATTCGGGGGAAATAAACTTGATAATGTTTCCAATAGTTTGTCGTAGTCGCCGCTTTGCGTATAGCTCTGTATCATAGTTGCAAACTGTTTATAATCACTAGCCGACAATGCCCGTTTTACCTTTACAACATATATTTAAGTTGCAGTATTTCTTTCTGCATATATATAAATATGCATGTGTTAAATGATGTTATATACCTACGTCTTTTAAATATTGCTTTCCCAATGCCTTTTTATCATCTTTATTCTCTTTTTTATCGTTTTGTGTGGGATTTACAGAACTGTTTTCTGTAACCATTGACGAAGAAGTTGAAGGGCCAGCAAAGTACGAATCGATTCCAGATGATATAATATTAATTTTTCTTTTTTTTACAACTGGTTCGTCAACATGTTTTGCTAATTCGCACATACTCTGATTGTCTTTTAATTTATAAGTGCTAAAATTGATCACCGAAGATTTTGGTTTCATTGGCTGTTTGTCTCTTGTATTTACATCGAGATACATATTTATGCTAAAACCATCTTTAAACGTCTCGTTTGTTACAGAAGTATTTTGTGCATTTTGTATGACCGAGTGCGATATTGTTGTTTCGAAGGTAGCACCTACAGCAGGCAGCGATATGTTTTTTCCATAATGCATGTGAGTGACACCAGGTTGTGGCAACTGTAATTACCGATAAGTTTCACAATAATTTATGAATGCAAAATGATTAATTATATGTCATTATGACAAAAGCTCACAGTATTCTCTGCGTTTTTAAAAAATTCTCGTAACTCCTTTGTAATCATTCCAAAATTCGTGAATTTCTTTATGTACGGCCTGAGCCAAGAAGACAGTTGCTTCTTGAAGTTCGGATTCTCGAATCTACAATCACAAAGTATGACAGCGCCATAATCATCTTTATGTCTTATTATCCTGCCAATTGCCTGATTAACAGCTCGTGACGCTTCCAGTTGATACCATTCTTGTCCACTTAAGCTCTGTGAGTTAAATTCGTTCGTCAGTATATCAGGAGAGAGAGAGAGAGAAAGAGATATATATATATATATATATATATATATAGAGAGAGAGAGAGAGAGAGAGAGAGAGATAGATTGATTGATTGATTGATTTGGCTTTATTTATATCGCGCTCTGGGAAAAGTTCCCCTCAAGCGCTTACAGTACAAAAGAAATATAAAAACAGAGCCATACAATCTAAATACAAAGAAATATATATATGAGTGAGAGAGAGAGAGAGAGAGAGAGAGAATCAGATATTTTTATTAAAAACACTAAAGCACTGTTCATACTTGTTTCTCCACAGTCTTGATTTCTTCCAAATATCTTTGTTTCAACATAACTCGCGGATCTTTTAAGGGCGGAAAAGGAAGACCTACGATCAATACAGCTCTGCCGTTTGCATCAGCAAAATCTAGACCTTCGCTGACTTTTCCTCTGCATACTGCCATAAAAACAGCTCCTTTGCAAGATGGATCTTTGATTTTTTGATAATACTCGTTCATTACGTTGATGAATCCGTCTTTGGAGTTGGGTTCTACATAAATAGGCTATTGTCGAATAATTAATTTGATATATATATATATATATATATATATATATGTGTGTGTGTGTGTGTGTGTGTGTGTGTGTGTGTGTACACACACACATCTCCGTATTGTTAAGTTGGGTGTAAAAAATTAACTATATAACAAAATGTTTCTTACTTTACGTTCAGCGATCTGCGTCCACAGACCCATATTCTGCCACTCGTCTCTACACTTCTTCATAATTGGATATGAAGGAAAGAATATTAACAATCCATGAGGAACAACACAGCAAAAGTTATACACTGTTCTTCCAAGCGATGCGATATACTTTGGATCATTCCTGTGATAACAGTGTTAATAATAACATAACGAACACACGTCATCTCGTTGCGCGAAATATTTACCTTGTGTTATAAGACGAATTAAGCGAGTGATTATCTGGTCCCTGACTAAGAATGCCAACACATACTTGCTCCTTTGTCACAATATGCGGATTTTCCAGCTGAATTGCGATCGGTATCCCGAGTTCCGATATAAATGGTTTTAACGGAGACAATGTGCCGCTGGTGAGTATTACTGAACGTACTCCTTGATCCACCATTTGTTCCATTCTAAAAAAACATATTTTTTCTATCATTTTTATATGATTACAGTAATGTGTTACTTTATTACGTGATTTCTCATACCCAAAACCAGGACTGAAACACCAATAACTAATAAGTTTGCCATCTGTTTTTGTTGTTTTTTTGTTCTCCCAAACGTCAGTTTTATAATTTTTTTTCTGCTCCTCTATTTGCACGTGAACTTTGTAACAGCGTTTTACTTTCTCCTTATGACGTGCGACAGAAGCACCACTATTAAAGGCAGTCCTCAGCAAGTCACTGAACTTTTGCAGCGCGTTCCCTTTTCTCGCAAACGGCGAAGTACTAGTGGTGGTCAGATATAAAATAATCTTCTCCAACTTGTCTATCACGATCTGTTCTTTTCCGTGTGTTAACTGTGTGTTACACAAAAATTACACAATAATATAATAGCGCATGTTTATTACACAATACAAAAAATCACCAGAATATAGTAGATCTGTTGTATATAGTATTGTGTAATAGGAGAGTTAAAAAAATCTTGTTACCTCAATTTTTTCAAGTAGCTCAAAAATAAACCCACCCGGGAAAGTATCTCCCTCGGTATTATTTAATTCAATAGAATCGATTGCTTTCTCTAACTCCAAGAACATGGCCTTCAAGATACACAAGTCTTCCGCGGTGAAATCTTTTTGGGCGGTATTCTCAGATAAGAAGTCATTCTGTAGATCTTCATCCTTAGTTATGTCTTGCATTACTGCAGTTATTTCGTCAATACACATCGCAACATCCGTGCTACTTATCTTTACAATATTCAGACAGAGATCCAGACAACATAAAAAATAGAAAAAAAAAAAAAAAAAAAAAAAAAATAGAATTAAATAAAAATGATAAAAATATAATTAGTTTTCCTATGTATATATATACTTGTAATGACGCTGCTTCTTCGCAAACTTTTTCAACATTATGAGCTTCGTCCAGTAAAACCACGGTGTTCTGTAGATCTATGCCCTGTGATTTTCGTGTCTTAGGATCCAATAAATAATTGTAAGGCATAAAAATAATGTCTGCGGTCTGCTTTAATTCTTTTGCCAAGAAATAAGGACAACATTTTTGTTTCTGTCCAACTTTAACTAAGTCTTCAATGTCTAAGATTTCTTGCTTAAAGACAGGATCATCCTTCCTAAAAATGTTAAAAGACTTATTATAATAAATGTGCTTGTACTTAATAGTCAAATAGTTTAATAGTTAATAGTTTTATTTCAATGTATGTAAAAAAAACTTATAAATGTTGGAATATTTACATTTACCTGGTCTCAACATTATTGAAATAAAAACAAGTTCTAGATTTTACTTTGGAATGACACATGTGTATTTTGTTAAAGGCGTTAGTTTCTTTAGAAACTTCTGGATGAATGCATAATTGATCCCGAGATCCTAATACAGTGGTAGCCACGTGTTTATATGATGTTCTTTTTAATTCGTGCATAGCTTGAGACAATTGAGAATGTGTTCGAGAGGCATAAATAATTTTTGGCATAGCCCAGCCAAAACTTGGAACATTGTCAGGCACTCCTGCTGCTTTTTCAAGACCACTGGTTAAATGCTTAAAAAAATTCCCACTCAAATCTTTCTTATCAATTGCACCTGTTATCACTTGTGCTTGTAATTGAGCTTTCTTTGTCAACAGCCAACTTAAAGAGGAACATAGCAGGCTGAGAGTCTTTCCAGTACCTGTTAAATCAATGTAATATTTATGTAATTAATAAGAGATTAAAGTATAATATGTAGCTGATTAAACAATAATAAAAGGTTTACTTGAAAAGACCAGAAAAAATTTTATTACCTGTAGGAGATTCCAAAACACCATGCTGACTATTTTGCAGGCATTCTATTACTTTTCTCATATATTCCTCCTGTACGGGATACGGTTTAAAAGGAAAGCTGACGAGAACATCATTAATCGTGATATCAGGCATTCCAAAAATCACCGTTCAAAAACATCAAAACGGAGTTCCGTGCTTCTTCCCGCCAGAAAAACCCAACTTGACTTCAGTCAGTAGTCAGTACCCGACGCACGTGGTCTTCTGCACTATTCTTTTGTTCACTAGCTAAAATGAAAGAAATGTTTAGTTAAAAAAAAAAAAAGAAAAGTCTAATTAGACACTCATGGCGTGTTAGAATATAACATGCAAAATAAAAAATATAGTAGTGTAATGAAATGGTGTTTACAAAACATACTAATGTCAATTTTTGAAGAGGAAAAACGGTAAAGAGGTGGACAAAGTGCAACTAAAATATAGAGTTTTTGTTTACGATGTGCAAATCGTAGAGATAAGTCTCATCGCGTGTTCGAGCGATAAAATAGATAAAAATTGCGACACAATTTGACGGAATTCAGATTCAGGGTTTATCTAGACGCGAGATAAGAATTTGTAGGACAATATGAGTTGATCGGGTGTCACATTTCAGAGCGGAACGGCGGAACGACACCGAGATTAGGTTAGTGCGCGCTAAGTGTCAGCTGATCAGATAGCAAGTGACCGGCCCAGTTCCAAATACGATCTGCGTAACAGGTTTGCACATTTTTTGAGTTATTTCACGCGATTTTGTTTATTTGTAAATTTTTATCGTTAGAAGTAGATAGTTGGATAGAGCATTGCAATAGAAGCAAGAAAGATAAATTAGTTAACATCGAGTTTTTTTGCACATATATATAGGCTGCGTTCGGAGAGCACGCTATCAGCACTATTGCGTCATTCTATCCTTGTTTTACATCTAATGAGCAATAAAGACAGAAGGATGCAACAGCGCTGCTAGTGCGCTCCCCGAACGCAGCCATAGTTTGACTCATCAAAAGTCAACAAGTGCTAGTTGATTGACCGCACAGTAATTTTCTAGACAAGCGCATATGATAAGAAAATTGTTTACAAAGTAATGCTTGTGTATCATTTAAATTAACAGACATTATTTCATACGACAAATCTTGATAAACCACGAGCTATAATATTACTATATGTATAATATAATGAACATGTTCTTTTATATTAATGTATCATTTGTATTTGTGTAATTAACACACGAGAAGAAACAGATCGCGATAAACGACGGCGCCGAAATATTTATTATTTTTAGAAATAAACATATATTTGATATAAAAAATAATAAAATATAATTTAATATAAAAATTGAGAAAAATAAAAATACATATTTGTAATTTAATTAATAATTTGTTAAAAACAAAATACATTTTTGCAACAAATATTTTAAGACGCGTGTTTATTTTATTCACGAATTTTGTTCAAATTCATCAAATATGGAATTTAAGGTTTTACTTGCTATCTGAAATAAAAGGCCAATGTCGTGAGCTTATCTTGGAGAAATGGCTGTATCTATATATTTGCTGTAGATAAACACATGGTCTCTGTTTTTAAAAGTTTCTGTATTATACCGTTTATATTTAGAATAAAAATTGAATTATATAGAATTAAATTGAATTGTTTATTCATGTGATTTTTATCGTATCTGATGTTTTTACGTAATTAGAATATTGTTTAATATGTATACAATATCAACAAACTTATTTAATTTTTGCTATAAAAAACAAAATTTGACAAGAAATTTAAAAACTACAATTTTCACAATTAACATATTTTCTACATCGTTTATAAAATAATATCAGTTTTCTTATATACATATATGTTTGATATTTAATGCTTATATATATATATATGTTTGTTTTACAGTGCAATTGTAGCATAAATATACATATTCATTATGCGTCTTGTAATTTGCGACACAGTGGACTATGTTGCAGAATGGTCTGCAAAATATGTTTTGAAGAGAATCAATGATTTCAGTCCCAATGAGAACAAATATTTTGTTTTGGGTCTTCCAACAGGTACGTCAATTTCAAAAATAAATATAAAACTCAAATAAAGAATCTTTTTTTGTTTCTCAATAAGAATGTGTTTTATTGTCTAGGTGGCACACCCTTGGGAATGTACAAGAAGCTTATTGAATATTATAAACAAAACAAACTTTCCTTCAAATATGTTAAGACCTTTAACATGGATGAGTATGTCGACTTACCAAGAGATCATCCGGAATCTTACCACTATTACATGTACAACAACTTTTTTAAACACATAGATATTGAACCAAAAAATGTGCATATATTAGATGGAAATGCAGCCGATCTTGAGAAAGAGTGCAATGATTTCGAAAGAAAAATCAAAGAGGCCGGTGGAATAGAATTGTTTATTGGAGGTATATCAGTAGTTTCTCAATAAATATAAAAATAGAAGGATTTTTAATAGCAACAAATTTGCAAACACGTGATTCTTTAAAATATATCACAACTGACTTTCGAGAATTATTTTACAGGCATTGGTCCAGATGGTCACATAGCTTTCAATGAACCAGGTTCGTCATTGGCTTCTCGCACAAGAGTGAAAACTCTCGCGCAAGACACTTTGGAAGCTAACGCGAGATTTTTCGGAAATGACATCAATAAAGTGCCAAAACAAGCTCTAACTGTTGGCGTCGGTACTGTAATGGATGCGAAGGAAGTCATGATCCTCATCACTGGATCTCACAAGGCTTTCGCTCTTTACAAAGCAATAGAGGAAGGTGTCAATCACATGTGGACAGTATCCGCGTTCCAACAACATCCTCGCACGCTTATAATTTGTGATGAAGATGCAACTCTGGAGTTACGTGTGAAAACTGTTAAATATTTCAAGGTAATCTTATGTAGACTTACTAGTTACCACATCCTCTTGTGATCAGGAAGAGGCATTGATTAAATGCAGCGACATACAATACAAAAAAAATTCTGTTTTGTATTCAATTTGTATGCTGCTTAGGCGCTCAGTGATGTACATCGCAAATTGATTGAAGAAGATAGAAATCCGATTCCTCGCCGTACAGTGCAAAACGATTGAAATGGTATTTTTTCCTTTTTAATACTTTTGATATTATTATTATTATTATTATCATCATCATCATCATCATCATCATCATTATTATTATTATTATTATTATTGATATTTAAAGTCAGATTTTATATTTAAGATTGGAGTTTGAACACCAATCTGTATATCTATTTTCCTTTATATTCTGTAAAACTATTGTGTAACAATATAAATTTTTTTTTATTCCTGTAAATTTTAGAAATTTTTTTTTATTTCTGTAAATTTTAGACATTGCAATCGTAACTTTAAAACATTAAATTTTATTATGGTTTTCTTTACAGAATATATGTGACATTTACAGCGAATTTATGAAGAAAAAGAATAAAAACCTTTAGGATTTCGTCCCCTGAATGGTCAAGCAAAAAGAACGATTATGCAATATATCGTATATTTTTCAATATTATGCAATATATTATATATTTTTAATCGTATTTTATATGTAGAAGTTTGAATTATATATATGCACTATTTTACAACTGCCATATGTGGAATATAACAGGGAAATATATTTTTTTTATTCTAGTTTGCATTTTTTTTCGAAAATAAATTTATCTTTTTTATTATTCTATCGCTCAGAAACATTCTCAGTAGTTATAAATTAATCAATTTACTTTTTTCTAGAGTAACCAATCTAATTACTCTCAGATATTTTTCTCTATAACAGGAATTATCAGGATGAGAACACAATCACGTTTTCTTATCACTGACGTTCTTATCTCCGTACTGATATTCTTTATAAAAGAAGGTTGTCATATACTGTTGAGTCGCTGCCAGAGTAACGACAAAATAGAACATAGTTTTTATGGTCGGATGAAAATTCTCTTAATGAAATCAAGACAAAAAGAAAGAAGTGAATTAAGCAATCGCAAACATTGACAATTTTTGAGACAGCGAGAAGCATCGGGGATTTGTTGTTCCGTTAAACACGGAAGATCAAAGCTTGATGAGATCGCGTCATCGAGCGCATCATCAGCATATGTGTTTTTACACGAAGATTAAGCTCATCTAGCACGTAAACATTCATGAACGTCACGGTTGTGTAATCGTGGTTCATTGTGCAAAAATTAGTCTCTCGTACGCGACTGACTAGGAAGGCGGTGACTTGAAATAATTATTTACTGGTGTGGGATTCAGGGACATACGCCTGTTACAAACCGATAATTTCGACCTACGTTCAGTTATCGTGTTTGCACGAAACAAGTCAGTCAGAGTAATGTCAACCGATTCGACGATCATGAGTAACAACAAACCAATTATAAAGGCGATTGAACTACATAAATTGCAGCCGATACTTAGTCGCACCTTCGACGACCGGTTGATCGTGGTGCGTTACACGGCCAAAAACATGATGCAGCCCGGCGAGAATTACGGCAGTACTATTCTCAGCGTTCACGCTGTGATCAAGCGCGATGACAATGCGCAAGAAGAAGATCTTTACCTCGTGGCAAAGATGCCACCGCCGACGGAATATCAACGAAAGATTTTCGACAGTCCATACACATTCAAAAAAGAGATCTTTATGTACGAGGATATCGTGCCTTATTATCGAGAGTTAGAAAGAGAAGCCGGTTTGAAAGAGAACGAACTGTTTGACATACTGCCAAAGTACTATCAGTCTAGATTGTCGTTAAATCCGGATATCGAGTTCGACGATAATGCCGTTATACTAATGGAGAATTTGAAGATGCGCGGTTATTACACGTGCAACAGAGCTATAGGTATCAAAGTATTTCTTTTATTTTTGAAACAACATGATAAAGTCATTGTTCGCGGTTTATCTTCATTTTTATTTTTAATCGAAGTTTTAATTGTCGAATTTACAAAATTAAAATTTATATATATATATATATACATACATATTGTGTCAAGAGAAATTTAAGTGAAACCGTAATGTAAATTAGTGCCAAGGATTACTACAATAAAGTGACGATGCATCAAAAAACGGTTACTTACATCAATAAAAATTTCCATCATGTTAACCAAAAACTTAAATTTAGTTAGTAAGTTTAGTTGGTTAACATGATGGAAATTTTTATTGATGTAAGTAACCGTTTTTTGATGCATTGTCACTTTATTGTATTAATCCTTGGCACTAATTTACATTACGGTTTCACTTAAATTTCTCCTGACACAATTTATGAAAAGACATTGAATTGTCAATTATGATCGTGACAACATTTTTTCTCAACCGCAATGAGTGTTTCACACAAGATCACATGATTTAATCTCTCTCTCTCTCTTTCTTATAATATCTTACGTAATATGAAAGATAACAAGATATCAAAAGTTACAGATATGCTTAATCACTTAGTAGATGAACGATTACTCTGTGTGACATAATATCTTGCAACAGTTCTCTCTATGTACATTTATAAATGTTTCCTTTTGTTCTATCAATTAATATCTACTCGATTCTTACAAGTTTTCTTTTCGCTATGAACAAAAGAAACGTCAGCTTTCTCAGATTTATGAAAGTAAAACATCTTGTCTACTGTAATAAGTTTCCTATTCCGCAGGATGTGACCACGAGCACGCGAAGGTCGCGATACGAGCAATGGCGAGGTTTCACGCGCTAGGCATGACCGCCAAATACAAGCGACCGGAACATTTCGAAATATTAAAACAACGGAGCAAGTGCGTGGAATACGATCACAAGGATTTCGAGCGTATGATAGACGAGATGATGAAGAGAATAGAAAAGGATCCCGAAATTGGTGTTTACATCAATAGGTGCAAAACAGCCGTGATGGATTCGTTGACGAACGGTTTATGGACCGCCGTCCCTTCCGAGCCATGGTCTACCATCATACACGCGGACTTTTGGGTGAACAATATCCTGTTTCATCGCGACGGTGACGGCCGAGTAGACGACGTGAAGTTCGTGGACTTCCAGAATTATCTGTTCTTCAGCCCGCTCCGCGAATTGGTTTTTTATATATTTTCCAGCACGGAGGTGCGCGACGATTATATCGAGGAACTGACGGATCTTTACTATGAGACGTTTTTGGCTGTGCTGAAACGAATGGACTGCGACACCGAATTGTTCACGAGACAGAAATTCAGCGTCAATATACTGGCCGATGCCAAGTACGAGTTCATGCACTTGTGTTTTATGCTTAAGATTCTCACGATGGACGTGCAGGAGACCAAATTTGACTACGATAAAATGGAGAACATGTTGGAAGTCTATCAAGGCAACGAGATGTTTATTCAACGGATGCGCAAGGTCGTGTCATATTTCGTTAAAAACAACTGGATTTAGACTAAATTTATGTTCTGATGTTGGAGATGTAGGACCAAAACAAAACGTTTCCTGGACGAGGATTAAAATATTAAATGCAATATATACAATTGTATTATTGCATATATATGCACAATATATGTACATACAATATAAACTGTGTAATTATGCATATGCACATTTCTTCTATTTTCATCTTGTATAATAAATGACAAGGTTAGATAAATTATAGAAAAAGCAAATGAGATGTCTAATTAAACAAGAGTTTGACAAATAAAATTAAATTTTTTATATATTTAATTTCCTCTACCTGATGAATTTCTCGCGCTTTATATTCAAACAGATTGATTCATTTCTTCCTCTTCGTTTTTGGAACTTTCCTGTTTCTATTTCTGTTCTTTACATTCTTCACCTCGTAGAAATTACTACCTATCTTCTTTCTTTTACTAGCGCGTTCTATTGCCCTTCGTTGCTTACTAGTTAAGTTTTTTTCTCTCAGTTTCTTCTGGGAAGACGTTGAATCGCCACCTGAGACTATTGCCTTGGTCATTTCACTGTCGCTAGAATTATAATCATTATTTGTCGCGTCGAATATGCTCTGCTTTAGATTATCTTGTTCAATGGGCAAACGGATTTCCGAGTAATTGTTGTCTTCATCCATATCTGAGTCTTTTTTATCTGCATTCTTATCATTATTTTCAGAAACAATATCAGTGTTAGATAAATTTTCTTTATCTTCCTGAGTACGTACAGTTTTTAGTTTGTGTGAGATCGTGTCAGATTCATCGATCCTTGCATACGAGTCATCTTCTACTTCCGAGTCTTCCGAATCCGAATCTATTTCCGACTTGCTCTCCACGCTTTCGTCGAAAGATTTATCCTGCTCCAAAGCATGTTGATCGTCTCCTGAATAGAGCAAGCCAACGCGTATTTTTCTGAAATCTTGCGCAACCGTTATCGGGTTGGTTATTTCTGTTACATTATCATTTTTATTTATCTCTTCATTACAAACGACAATTGGTTCGTTATCTTGTCTGATAACTGACTCGTTGGGATTAACTGTTTGCCTCGACAATGGTTCTTCAAATCCTGCCGGCGGAACATAAAATGGCAATTTGCCGCGTTGCCAGTCGTTTAGTACCATTTTGGCCACGGTTGCGATATCGGGTTCTGCTTTCTTCAACAGTTTGCCGCTTCGACGCGCCAATTTCTCCAGAAAATCAATATGATCCGTCCATTCGTTTATATTGTACGTTTTACGTAAATATTCGGATTTCACTCTTTCCAGAACAGAGGCAACGTAGTCTTCTGGATTCTGAACAAGTTCCACTCTCACAACGCCTTTGAGCACTTTCTCTGTATCGGTTTCCGCTGATGGATAGACAACGCCGGGACAATCTATCAGATAGATACGTCGCATCAAAGTTATATATTGCCATACTTTTGTCTCCCCAGCGATGGGGGCTACTTTGCAGACTTTTTTGGAGCGCAAAGTGTTTATAATGGAACTTTTACCCGTGTTAGGATATCCTATGAAACCTACGCTGATCTGCTTTTTGTCGACGTGCAATTTTGCGAATTGCCTCAATAAATTTATTAGAGAACCCTTACCGAAAGGATGCGTCAGAGACGCGTGGAAAGCAACCGTCGGGTATTCTAGGCTTAGTATCTTCACCCATCTTTGCGTAACCCATGTCGGCACCAAATCCACTTTATTTAATATGAATATTAAATGTTTGTGAGGCTTCTCAGTTTTCAGATATTTTTCCACAGGTGGGGATCTTGTCCCCATTGGATCTCTGGCATCCAATACTTGCAGAACAACATCGGAGGAGTCTATGACCTTGTATAGCTCGTTCCATATTCTCTTGCTTTGTCCAGCTGCCATGACCCAATCTCTCTGAGCATCCTTGATACCGGTGTCCTCGCGAATAAGATCGTGATCTTTGGAGTGTTTTTCCTTGTTATAAGCATCCTCTTTTTCCTCGGCTATTTTTGTCAATTCGTCGTACGACGTTACTGCCAGATTAGGTTTTTTCCGAACCTTCTTCGGGCCAAATACGCTTTCAAAACTTTCTGTATCTAACAGATGTACTCTCTCATTTGCTGCCTTCTGCTGAAGTAATGTTACAGGAAGTTGAGTGGGTTTCATAACCACTTTATATGGGTCCTTTATAGCAGCTCCCAACTCGTTTTGGAATTTTTGCAGAGCATTTTGCGATATAACTCTAGAATTGCCAAACCACTTCTGAGATGGTTCCACGCGAGACATAGTACCAGAAGGATTCCAGCCTTGAAAAGGCGCAGGACTGATGATTTTTCCAGAACGATTACGTTTTGGTTTTTGATTGCGATACATCTGCAATCTCTTAATAGTTGCTTTAGTTCTTGGTTTAGCAACTCCTTTCAGTCCTTTTCTAGGAAGATCAGGATTCATACTGTGATTTGAAGGATTGAAACCCTGCTTTCGCGGAGTCTTTACAGTAGTGTGTGATTTACCCATTGTGCCTGTAAAATAATAGTAATAATAATAAGTAACAATAAGTATAAAATATACTTAATACACAGAATCAAGCATCTTGTTATAAATTACATAGAGTTACTAGACATCCAGAATTGATCTGAACTTTTAAATAAATAGTTATTAGTCTTGGATTTTTAAATAATTAATTATAAAAGTTAAATAATAAATTATTACATTATAAAAAACAAAACAATGTATAAGTTGTACGTTTTCTCAATATTGAAATTAATTTTTTATGAAGTGCCTGATATTAGCTTTCTTATAATACTTTTCTAATAAATTATAAAATATAAAGTTGACAAAATATGTACTTACCACTAATAAATTACTCTGTTACGGTGTAAGAAATGGCTCTTATTAAATAATATCAGAGAGAGAAGAGGTTGGTTTGGTGCAAAAATAGCTCAGTGGACCGAATTAAGTTAGTCCATACGCCATTCTAGGAACTTCTAGTGAGTACATTAGACTTGGAGCACTGTTGCAGGGAAATCTCTCCCGTATAGGAAAAGAGTAAATTGTGAAAGGGCCGTCTACAATGGGAGTAGGTAGTATAGAGTAAAAGAAGTAACGTTCTTGGAGTTATTTCATTTTTGTCTATACAAGTAATTATTTCGCGTTTTTTTGACACGCGTCTTTTATTGACTAACAGTAAGGAAGTAGACAGTGCGAAATGGGAATTGCCCATTTCGTTATTCCCGTCGTTTCTTCACCGAAAAATAGTTTACTCTCTACTCCTACAGCCTTACTACCTTCATTGTAGACTAGCCATAATGTATTCACTAGAAGTTCCTAGAATGGACTATGTATTTTAATTCGGTCCGCTGAGCCATTTGCGTACTAAACCTAAATGCACCAAACCAAGCCGAAAACAAACGGCAAGATGGTAAATTTTAATTAAATGTTTAATATCCAGTTTTTCCACAGAATATTGTATGATGTGTATCAAATAATCAGCAATACTATGATAATATTAGTGCTGATTTTTTTATGACAATATTTTGTCGTACAAAAGTACAAACATGATTTTTGGAGGTTAAATTACATAGTCTTCACATGTGTAATTTTACAATACCTAAGTTTTAGAACGTTCTTTTTTTTGTATGTGATATTTAAGAAATATATTGTTTTTTGATAAATTTGAAAAATAAATTAACAAACTAGATAACAAAAAGATTTTATTGAGACGACTAAAATGTTAGATCAGATTGGATACAATTTAAAGTAACATACTCTTCTTTTTTCAGTCTCTCGTGATTCCCGAGAAATTCCAGCACATTCTTCGTGTCATGAACACGAACATCGATGGTAACAGAAAAGTCATGTTTGCCATGACTGCAATTAAAGGTGTTGGTCGACGTTATGCCAATATTGTTTTAAAGAAAGCTGATATTGACTTAGACAAAAGAGCTGGAGAGTGTTCAGAAGAAGAAGTACATTTTTTTACATTTTTTATATAATAAGTGGTTCTGCTGTAATTTGAAATATGAGTTTAAAGTTATATAGGATTTGCTTTTAGGTAGAAAAAATTGTCACCATTATGGCTAATCCTAGGCAATACAAAATCCCAGACTGGTTTCTTAACAGACAGAAAGATATTATTGATGGAAAGTATTCCCAGGTATGTCTGTTTAGAAAAAACACTGAGAATATTCTACTTACATACATTGCTGTCAAAGTACATAAAATTATTTAACAAAAATATTTAGTATATTCTATAAACTATATTGCACAGATTGATTATAGATTGTACAATGATTTATCAGACATTTATATGGATGGCTTGTGCAATAGCATATATGTTTAGAGATTGACAACATAATAACATTGAGTAATATACATATGCAGCAGAAGTAAAATTATTTCTATGTAAAATAGAGAAAACTGGAAATGTTGCATGATATACTTAAAATATTTCATTATGTTATTTAAGATATTGTATATCCATTATTATTAGCTCACTAGTGCCAACTTGGATTCGAAACTGCGTGAAGACTTGGAAAGAATGAAAAAGATCCGAGCGCACAGAGGGTTGCGACACTACTGGGGTCTCCGTGTACGTGGGCAGCATACTAAGACCACAGGTCGCCGTGGACGCACGGTCGGTGTATCGAAGAAGAAATAATTTTATGTATTCCATATGTATTGTCGATTATTAATAAACTGTTAAACTAATGTTTTTTTATTTAAATATTTTTCTCAATAGGGAAAATATACGGATCTCTAAGTACATATATAATTTTGACAGGCAAATTTGGAAGTTAATGTTTATCGTATAGTGTTTTGAGTAAGAACAAGGGGATTTATTTAAAATCTAGATATTAATCTCTCTTGAGTCTAAAACAACGAATTCTTTGGTCTTTTAAGTTGCAATAATACTTTTTTTATATAGATTTAAATATAGAGAGTGCGCGCTAAGTTGCTCCAAAAATGCAATTGACAATAAAATGATTCTAGAATTATAGATATCTCAACAACGTGTAAGAAGCGTTTCCAAGTACACTTTCGGCACTTTTCCTCGTTGATTGCCTCTGATTCCCATGTAATAGTCTTCGTCATCGGGAATTTCATAAATACTGATTACCTAAAAAATATATACATACATTTTATATAAAATATAAGTTACTTTATTATAACTTTGTGTTTATACAATTTATATTTACTACATTTTGTCAATTTATATAAAGAAATTCAATGTGTACGATATCGATAACAATACATACGAATAAAAGAACAACGTATGTAAACAAGAAACAGTAAAAATGCGTTTAACAAAAGAGTAAAACGACAAAAATTTATTGACAATACACAACATGCACAACTCGAACAAATATACAATTGGTTGTCCGCGTACGGATTTGTGATTCAAGATTCAATCCTTTCGCGAGAACTGTACATGTGTTTTTCATATTGTTGCTTTACAAATCTGTAGATGTCGGAGGAAAAAATGTAACACTTGATATAATGAATTAAAAACATCGATTTAAAAAGTACGAAAGCTGATGCGCACATATATAAATAAAACACTGTGATACATCTAACATGCATAATTTGTTGATAAATAAGATATGAACATAATAAACTTTCTTTACTTAAAAATTGAGATTGATCAGGATCTTGAATTATCTTTTTTTTTCTTTTCGACAAAGTTGTTTGAGAGAAAGAACGTTTTTATAGAGAGAGTAGATTTTTTATACGGAACTTCTAGAGAAAAAAGAGAATTTTGCGTATTATAATTAAAAATTTTGATTCAACTTGATTCAACCAGTTCATGCCTAATATCGCATCGCCAAACATGCTACCCTCTGTACCTAAATTACAAACTTCGTTACCTCGTCCTGCACGACGCTTAGCTCGCTAGGATCCCTCGCATCGTAATTGCACAGCACTCTCGCTCTGTGCTCCTGACCGTTTTCGGCTAGTGCATTGACGGTCGTTGGCGGGGTGTTGTAATAAAGACCCCCAGATACGCTGGGTGAGATAAATTAAATTTGAATATACAGTGCGCACGTAGTTTTTGTAAATAAACTTTTAATAAAGAATTAAGTTCTCTTTTTTTTGAATACGGTTACTTGCAATTTTTGCTTTCAAGCAATTTAAGAAGAATGGATCTTAATTCAGAGATATTTTTATTCAATAGAATCTGTTTTTTTGCAAGTATGTGTATCTAAATTTCCGTCAAAATAACATGCACACCAATGTTACATATTTCACTCCGATACCCATAAATGAGAATTTTAGTTTTTTTCCATACAGCGTGTAACACTGTATTAAATATCATTGTACAAACACAAAAAGAAAACAGTACGTGTATATCTACAATAACGTCGTTGTTTAGTTACATGGCATTATTACAGCATTGGAAATTAGTTTCTTTTTTCTCTATGCCATTATGGCATTCTCCGTCGAATTACGGCGATTTATAAATAATCATTCTCAAAGAATAACAATAAGAGAATAGAAGACAAAGAGAATAAAAGAAATAGAAAAAAGACAGAAAAAGAACATGGTACATCGCCGTAAATCGTTCACAAAATTGTTTATCGAGAGAATAATATTTTTCCTATTCTATACATCCTGCGTAGATATACAAAGTAGTTATACGGAATATTTATTTGATAATAGGACTAAGATCCTTCGATTAAGCGAAACAAGCTCTATTTAATATATATATATTTGTTTGTTTTTTAACTCATGCTTAGAAAGTCACTTCGATAAACATTGCTATTTGAAGAAAAAAGTGTGTAACGGCGATAGGGTAGATCTATTGATTAACTCTTTAGATATGTGCAACAATCCGTTAAGAATCGTCTGAAGAGATAAAATTTAGACTTTACTGATATCAGTATCGAATGTAGCAGTAACGTAAGCAGTAGATCCAGCGGTTACAGACGAATTTTGAGGATACACGAACGAGTTTGAGGGATTAGTAGGCGAGGGGGTTAGCTCGATCACTTCCTCGCTGTTGACTCTCAGCAAAGGGCTCGGTTGACGCGCCCTGTAATTTCAATTGTGCAAGCACAAACGATAGAACGTATAGCAAGGAAAACTACTATACTACTAGAACAAAGAGAAAGAGAGAAAAAAGAAAGCCGGAGAAGCGAGGTAATTACTAAGCATGTACAATAAGAACAAGGTGTTTGTCACTAACAATAATTACAAAGCTCAGAAAGGGCTGGCATGGAGAGGAGCAAATGAATTACGTCGGCATTAGATCTGGTTTAAATCGCTGGTTTTACTGACTAAAGACCTTTCGATTTTACTCTCTTCGGCTGTGAAAATTATCGATTACTTATTAATATATAAAACACCTAAACAGAATTAATTGGCATCGTTAAAAACAGGTAATGTTCGTCAAACCACATGTTTTTTTTCTTCTATATATCAGAAATGTTACGTATATATCGTGCAAAATTTTGTTACATTTTATTTATCATTTTCTTGTTCCAAATCTATGCCCGGAATCATTCTAGAAAAGCGGAGTTTACAAATCGAGACTTGACAACACAGTCACTGCTATTTAAGAGAAGGGGTTTGTCAAACATTACTCACTTGAATCACCATAAAGTGGGATAGCTGTACAAGAAATATTGCGATAATACACAGAACACGATGATATGTGTGGGACAGATGAGTAATTTCAAAAAACAAGCAAAAAGAAATAAAGGCAGCAGAAAGCTGCAAACTCACCCCGCAAGCTCGCGTTGTAGGTCCTGCATGACGGCGTGGCATTGCGCGTAATGACGAGCCTGCGCTTCTACGAACTCGTGCAGACATCGCAGGTGACCAGCCTGCGAGCTCGAGACTCCTTCCAGCAGCAATTTCACGATCTCTGCCTGTCGATCGAACTCCGACTGCGCTATCCTCAGCTCCCTCTCTGCCTGAGTAAGCAATGCATATATCTCATTTTTCTGTGCATACGCTCTTTTAATATTTATTATCCACAATAAGTCGTGAAAAATGAAACAATCAATTTGCTTCATTTTTTATACAATGTAATAACATTTGTTTCATTACTATTCACTTCTTTTTAAGTTTTGTTATACATTCATGTATATGTAATGCAAGATATTAATATTACAGAGTATGCAAACGCATTAGAAAATTACTCAGAGAACGAAATTTTTCCGATACCAGCTCACAGATATTAGTTACTAAATACTGTTTTTTTTTTTTTTTTTTTTTTTTTTTTTTATTGAATTTATGTTGAATCTTAAATTGAGAAAGCAACAAGAGCTATCGATTTGCATGAATACCTGATCAAGCAATACTTCGGGCGATATGCCGGACTCCTATCAATCGCAGCAGTGAAGGACAAAACACATCATAAACGTACAGAACACATTTGTAAACGGAATACATAATTAACAATACTTACACTCTGTTGACCCAGCATACTTCTAGCTTTCCTTACTCTATTTTTACACGCATCTAGATCAAGCCTGCAAGAGTTGTTTAAGATCAGTTATAGGATTTTTTTTTCTTTTATTTTTAGCAAACGAAAATGAAATATTACCTCTTATTCTCCAATATTGCCATCTCCTTCTGGACAGTCTTCATTTCTCCATCTAAAAACTTTCTCAGAGGCTGTATATAACAGTTAGCTGCGGTTCCTATAAAATCTCTTTCAATCTGTCCTAATTTCTGCTGGCACTGACCAACTTTTATTAAGGCGTTACCTAAAATACAATCAAATCTATCTTTATGCATGATCTTATCAATTTGTTTATCTATATATACCAACCATAAGCTATTCCAGGGCCAAAATCATTTCCAGCGTCTATCATATCTGTGCCTACATATTCTAAATTGCTCAACCTATTGGGTTTCTTCTTATCAATTTTTTCGTAAAAGAAGTCTTCAATCCTGTTGCCTGTAATACATTTTGTTACAAAACATTAACAAATATAAAGATTCATGTAGTTTTAGTCAGATATAAATTGTCAAATGTAGAAATAATGTTGAAATAATATTTAAATTCAAATAAATATAGCAGTTCAATACCAGGATTAGGAGTGAGCACAGCCTCCATATTTCGTAGTATTTTCTCTGTCCATGTTTTTGTGGCATTTGCTCTCTCTGCTAGATGCTCTAAATGTGCATCCAACTCTGTTTTTTCTGAAGTTCCTAGTGTTTCCTCTGTCAACTAAAATCAAAGAAATAATGTGTGTGACAAATTGTATCTTTTATATTATCCAGTCTGTGTGTAATGTAACTGCAGAAATAAAATTGTGATTCAAAGAAAAGTAAAAAAATAGTTTGTATTATTATTGCAACAATAACAGCACTTGTAAAAATGTAGTTTTATTTGATTATAAAGAAGTACCACAAGTCTTTATTACAAGTCCTATTATCGCTTTAGTATTAGACACATATGCATATAAATGTGTTTCATTCATCTCGAAAAGATTAGAAACAGAAATAAAGGTTAAACAAGGTGGTACAAATGCACCAGAGCGATTCGAAAGTTTTACAACTTGAATGACGAGTCGAGAAGTTCTACAGAACGGTAAATGGCACAGAAAATCGAAAAGTTTATCTAATGGATGTGATTATTGACTCAGAGCCATCGAATAACAATGGTGACATTAGAACAAAGTGTAAAATGCTTGGTTTTTACTATTAGTCGAAAAAAAACGAATTTGGAAATTTGAGAAAACTCGAATTTTTACCTGTACGACTCTGCTGAGGGCGGCTCCAGCATCTTTCACCAACTTTTTCACATTAAAATCCATTCTTTCGCAATTAAGATTTCGCTCACGCTACACTTTTTCCTCGGCGAACACCTAACCTCTTATTCTTTCTCTCTCTCTCTCTCTCTTTCTTTTTCCGTGTACGTGTGCAGCCGTACATACGCCGCTTCTTTTGTATGCACATACACTACCTTATTTTCTCTCTATCGATCACATTAATACCACATGTGTCCGCAGAGTGGCATTGTTGCGTCGCATTATACATTGCGTTTCAAATCGTGAGTACACAAGCAATTATAAGTTTGTGTTAAATTCTGTAAATTTTATTGCATCTTGCTAATTTCAAAGATGTTTTTAAATGAATGTTTTATTCGTAAAACTAGTCAAAATCACATGGTAATAGATGTAAAACAATCTAACAGAATTCAGTAACCGTTTTTTTTTTTGACACAATCTATTTTCCAGATCATAAAAACATAAAATATTTAAATTTATAATCTTACATATAAAAACGTTTTATTAATTATCTTAGTCATTACTTAATATTATTTGTTTGTGCTGTTTTTTTATTAAAATCTATCTGAACTAAAAACTATTATCCATATATCTTTTTTTATAAAAGCATACACAATATTATTATATATTATTATATCATTTAATAAAATGAGCCAAAAAAGAATCTACTTTCAGAACGTGTGTATATACAATATTTCACATGATTTCATTTTCTGTAATTTAATTCATAATTATGAAGAAACCTGTATTAAAATTTTCAGATTTTTCTAATAATAGAATCTGGAAAGTTTTAGAAAAATTGTTCTTTCAAGAATTTTGCTTTTATTTATTGCCAACTGAGAGTGATCAAATCTCTCTTCTTTTTCTTTTGTTGAATATAATATTTAATTTCTAAAACGAATATAAATTTAATATAAGAATACACACTAGTTGAGAGAACAAGTATTTAAGTCAAATTAAGAAAAATCAGAGTGAGACTTTCTTCTATTCTTGTGACCACATAATTGTTATGTACTGTCTAAGAGTACTTATTTCGCATACATATTTATTGTTTTCTCTTAATAAATTGTGTGAAGTTTTTATGTTACTTTAAGATTATTTTTTAATAAAAATACTTAATATTATATAAACATACTAGTACTTAATTAATAATGATTGTGATAATATGATTAATTAGTGATAATGATTTTCATAATTGTATTATTTATTAGATAACAATGACTGCAATTATTTTTGCACCAATCTAATACGTAATAATGGTTTTGTAACTTAACCCAGGAAAAGTATTTGAGATAAAATGGAATCAAAACATGTTTTTGCATTAATCCGCAAACTTTTGTCAATTAAAGGAATGTTAGTTTAAATGTTTTGAAGCTTGTATGTTATCAAGGCATTAACTATTCTCCATCAGCTGTCTAATTATAATTAGTCGTCAGTGCGATCTGCCGATTGCCGATAACTTCCGCGCACGCGCCCGAGCTTCTGTGCGAATACTTGTGTACTCAAACCACAAAACATTAGGAATTAACGTTGTGTCACGCAACAGTAGATACTCTGATATTCGCCTGAGAAAAAATAAAGATTAGATCGGAAAAGTGACTGATCGCTAAATTATTTTCTCTAAACTTTTTTGACAATCTTTACTCACCATGAAACTACTATGGGGAATAATGGTGTCAAAATTGTGTGCGTGATTATAAACCATGCTGTGCCCAATGCAATTCCTAGTAATGCACCGCAAACTACTTGAATAATTGAGTGGTAAAGCAGATACACTCTGCTGTAAGTTACAAATACAGCTAAGATGATGCATCCTACTGCTACTATTGTCCGCCAAAACCTTTCGGCTATTGTACAGTTATAATTTAATCTGAAATGTAATAGAACATTCCATGAATTGTTGATAGCTCAATTATCAAAATAACATCATGTATTACGCTTACCTAAAGTATATAAAAAGTGTTGCATAGGCAGCAAAAAACCACATAAATTGTGCATGTGTAGATGGCATTCCATATTCAATATACAAGCCATCTCTTCTTAGCGGTCTTGCCTGACGAATGGTATGTTTCAATACAAAATTTATACACTCATTGATTATAACTCCACTAAAAAATACAATCTGTAACCAGCAAAACATTTGTAAATCTACAGATGACAAAGTGAATTTATACATATTATACAAGATAACTATATATTGCTTACAGTATGCAAATCTCTTCTAAAAAGTATTAATGCGACAAAACCAGCTGTAATAGCAAACGGCACTAGACTTATTACAGCTAATACTTTTCCAAAGAAATCACCTAAAAAAAAAAAAAAAAAAAAGAAAAAAAATCATTATTATATACATCAATTATCAGCTCTCGCTCACTATCACCTGCTATCATTCTTGTGATTACAGAGGCAGCGAGTGAGGAAAAAACAAAGCAGCACTTTAAAGTTTCTCGACACACGAGCTACGGCTCGAGCTTTTTTATCTGGTCATTGTGGCTCCCGATAAAAGTACGGAAACTATACCTTGCGGATATTCCACTAATGTCAGAGACAACGGAATCCATTCGGGTTTATCGGCCGCATGTGCGAAATGCGACTTGATCTCGTTCAACGACTCGTTAAGCGATGCCATATTATTGCAATTTTTCAAGTGGCATGTCTCGCACGATCTCTATGACACAAAAGAGAAAAAGATGGACGTTTTATTTACACCTGGATGAGCAATGACAATCACACAGATCTGGTCCAGTTCTGATGACTGACCTCGCTGCTAGCGGAACGATAAGGTTGGATAAGGTCAAACAAAGTGAACGCGCGCGCGAAAGCCACCAAACGGAACATCGCGAAAACACCGTTCAAGTAATAAAAATCTATACTTCACGTTACATATGCTATAGATTTCTAGTTACTGACAATGAATATCGGAACGCAGTTCCAATGAAGGTCGATTGGTCAGTATTTGAAATTCGAAATACATATAGCCATAAATCAAATTTTAATTCTAATTCCATAGCTTCTAGTTTAGTTTTGATATAATTCAAATATTATAGTTTCTCTCTAAAAAAAAGTTTTTAAAAAGAGAATGACGATTTACATGTAATACAATCCCTACAGAAAACACAAAAAGAATAAAAATTATATTAAAAATAACTTTGGATACATATGTGCTTTCACAAGTATTTATTTTAAACACAGAGGAATCATCTATTCCAATTCCATATAAATACAAGTGTGTATAAAAGACAATGAGAAATAAGACTGTAAAACGCAATACAGTACTCGTACTTGTGAGTTATGTAAGCTTTTTATTTCATTATGCTTTCAAATCCTTGCGGGTCGTAAATAGACAGATAAATTACATAGGCCTGCCTATGCCGCGTCCCATCGGTGGCTGTGGACCATCCTGAGTACTCTTGGGATTCTTAATAGTCTCATCGACGGACAATATGAGGCAGGCGGCCTCGGTGGCGGCCGTTAACGCGTTGATCTTCACTATCGCCGGCTCCCAGACGCAACACTGCATATTGTCTGCAATATCTTCTGTGTTGACATCGACGCCGTACCATTGTAAGCCCTTATGGTGTTTCTGACGCAACTTGTTCAAAATGTTTGTTGCATCAAACCCGGCATTATCACAAAGTTGTCTGTAATCGATATTTATTTTTGTTATAATTCTATTTCCGAATATAATGTATTTACGTGATTTGATTCTCACCTCGGGATAACTTCGAGAGCTCTCGCTATTGCGCCTATTAAGAGCTGTTCCTTGCCGGCGATGGTGCGGGAATAATTGCGCAGAGTCTTGGAAAGTTCCATTTCAATGGCTCCACCACCAGCAACGACTGCGTCATTTTTCACCAAGCGTCTGACAACCATGATCGCATCATGAAGAGATCTCTCTGTCTCTTCTAGGAATTGTTCCGCGCCTCCACGTAGAATGAATGTGCACGTTTTCGCTCCTGAATATTCCTCACCAGGTTCGAAGATGTTGAATCTATATAACAAACAGTATTAAATATCCGCATGTAAACTAGAATGTTAGAATGAGACATGAATGAGACATAGTCTGTAAGACTATGACTGTGATGTATATTTATTACACACTACCTTTCACCACCGATTTGTTTCTCCTCGAAAGTCTGGCATCTTCCGAGATCAGAATCTTTAATGTCGTGCACAGTCGTTAAAATTGCGCCACCGCATGCTTTCATGGTTCTCTTAAGATCCTCATCAGGCACTCTGCCAGCGCAAAACATGTCCCTATCTGCGAAATACTGTGTCGCGACATCACCGATCGGTAGCATCGACAGCACTACTTTTGCGCCGCTCTTGTGAATCTGGTCAAGTTTTTCATACAAAATCTGCCATTCCGCATCGACAATTCGTTGATATTCTGTCACATTGTCCACGCGTACTTCAGCGTTATCCCGTTCAGCTTTTAATTCCAACTCAATGTTCAACAATGCAATCTTGCAATGTTGATATTTCTTCGGTTGCATCTCGAATCCAGCATAACTAAATGTTTTTTTAAATGCCACACCTTGGATCAGCTCTGAATCTTCTAACGCACCTCCGGAAACCTAAATGTTGCACAAACAATCAAACACTAGAAGTGAAATATATTTGAATCCTTCATAACTTTTAAAAAGTACATAATTGCTCGCACCTTTTTAATACCAATCATATTAAGAGGAAGCAATTCGTCTAATATCATGACAGCCTTGACAACTAGTTTGCTAAAATGTTTTTTTTGTTGATGTATCAGCTTAGAGCTCATAGACGTAGCTGCACATTCCTCTAGAAGTTCCATATGTTTGCTGATGTCATTTTTATCTATTTTGACGCTCAATTCATTAATTTTATCTATAGCTATCTGAAGAGCACGACGAAGAGCTTTGATAATTATACGAGAGTGTACACCCTCTTCTATAAATGGCTTCATCTGTTTCAGAAATTCTCCTGCCAGAAGAACTACACTGGTTGTGCCATCTCCCACCTGTTAAATATTAATATTAATAATAATAATAATAATAATCTTTTTTGCCCTGTTTAATGTAAAAATTATAAGCTATTTTATATTTTGTTTGAACAGTATTGAAGCAATTTCATATCTTTAAGGCATTGCCAGTCTCTAAATGTTCTAAATTTAATATCCTCTGAATTTTTATACATAATAATTTTTCTTACATTATTACTTAGATACAACTTAACTTTTTTCTATTCAGAGATAATAAAGTAAACTGATAAGTAAAATATTCTTACTTCCGCATCTTGTGATTTTGCAATGTCTACTAAAGTTTTTGCAGCTGGATGAACAATATCTAACAGTTTCAAGATGGTAGCACCATCATTAGAAATAGTGCCTTTTCCATCTTGACTGACTATAAGTTTATCCATGCCTCGAGGACCCAAAGTGGTCCTAACAGCATCCACAACTATCTGGCATGCATTTATATTGGATATAATTTGTTGCTTTCCTTGAGACGCATCTGTACCTTCTTTCAATAGAATTATTTGAGGTTGCTATAAAAAAAATTCAAATTTTTACATACAACATATGTAAAATTATTGAACACATTAAACGAGTGCAAATACCCTTGCATATATCCCCATTTCTGACACTTGCTATTTCTTTTTTATACCTCAACTTTCTTATTTATAACTCAAAATACTTTCAAATATTTATTAAAACTGAAATCAGATTGATAGATATTAAAAAGACAAACGAAAATCAAGATCGTTAAAACTTTTGTCGCTAAGATCGAACATATCGACGAACATCGAAATGAGACTGCATGTACGAATAAAGGAGGGGATGGTTGTACTATACGATAAGTCTTCATGAATATTTGAGTACAGTAAAATTAAAATGATTTCGTTATAGATATATTTGATGCCGGCGATTACATTACGTTACATTACATTATTGTCCTTAAAAGGCCTTATGTAAATGAGATCAGAACGGAGCAGAAATTATTCACGTGACAATTGCAAGAACATTTACTGCATATTATCAATTTGACTGTTTCTAGTTTCTGCTCCATAAAATACCATGTTTTTGCAAAAACGTAACACGAAGCAAACTTTAAGTAAAAAAGCTACAGTAACACATGACGCATCGCTTGTAATACCTACTTTGAGGTGGGATTGCCACGATATGTACATTAAATATTAAGTAAAAAGCAGCGATTTATTTGTTCTTTGTTGTATCTTACCATGTTTGGAGCTTGCGTGCAGTGCTTTTACTTATTTATTACCACTCCTTTTTGAAAATTGTTTCTCGATGTTTCTTTAACAACGCTACTTAACCGCATAAGGTAAGAGTATAGGCACACGAGTAATAGGCAAAGAACAAATAATATTCTAGATTGATTGTATGTACGTATCACCGCATCATGCGTACTTCCACTCATGAGCGCCGCGATGTCCATGTCTTGCATGCGTAAACTACTCTGTTTAAAACGAAAGGGTATCTATATATATATAGGCAGTAAGAAGCTGACATAAAGGTACCTTTCCATAAAGCAGCACACCGCGGCAGCAAATCGTCACGTGACTAAAATTTTCTAGGACTGCTTCCGCTAGGTATATTTGCTGCTCTCACCTAACCCTCATTTGATGCCATTCTTTGTTGTTGATGGAATTATATAATTATTGCATAAGTATCAACAATAAAATTTTCTCGGTTTTGCTGCTTTTTGTTCGTTTGAACTTCTGGTTACTGGTGCCCTTATGGCTCAGTGTCGTTTGAACTTCGCAGAGAATTATTGACGCTACTTACTGCTAGGGAATACCATCCTCTTATCCCTAGTCCCCCGCGTCCACGAAACAAAGCAGAGACCCCGACTGTACACACATATCTATTTCAATGCAATTACTGCGCGTTTAATTTTTTTGCTCAGCACAGCATAATCGAAAAAGTATCAAAATCGAGAAAATGATCATATGGTTTGACGAGCTCTAGGAGTGATCATCAATTTTTTTTTTCATATTCCGCCTAAAACCTAGTTTTTTTATATGGCCGTTCTCAGTCTTCTCTCTGGCGTATGTCATCATATGTCAATGTCAATATGTCACTAAAAATGTCGATTTGATATTTCGAGTATCGAGGTATCGCACGTTCGATATAATCGAATTAATTGACAGTTATAACGGAGGCGCGATGCGGAGCCGAAACTACGTTCGACTTGTTTGTTCCCGCATTTCTCACAATTATTATTGTATCGCGAGTGACTATCAGTTACACATGTGTCTCGTAAAGTGTCGAACATTCGCAGGAGAGTAATATTGCAATTTGCTAGTAATTGTAATCGGCGAATATATAACAAAATTTTTGCCGTTTGCGCTCCCATAAAACTCGCGCGCAGAACAAAATGACTGACTTGCTACGCGAGAAGATTTTTTTTGAAGATTAATTCGTATTTTTTGCGAATATTATAGTTTCGCGCGTGCAAATATGTGAACATTGTAAAACAACGGATGTATTCCCACTGGTAATTGATAGCATCGCGCACTTGCTAATAGTAGTAATTGAGTTTACAGTGCAGTTATATCATAATCACGTTTGCGCGAAATGCAAGCGAAGAACTAAATTTTGTGTGTTATTCTTGCTGTACAATTATATAAAAACGTAAGACTTTTAGTAAGCTGAATTTTTGATTGCCAAGCAATATTATGGAACAAAAACATAATCAATTAATTACATTTCTTTAGATCATTATATATTTTGTTGCTTTACTATCAAATATTGTAAAATTACTATATGTTTCGTATTTCCACAGGTGTGTGAATAGCGAGCTGCTGCAATTATTTTAAAAAATAACCTGACCGATCTGTGAAAATGAGAAAAGAGAACAAGAAAAAACATAAAGATCTGCAACTTTCCATCTACAACATGTGTGTGATTGTCAGAAAAACAAAATTTCGCTCGAGCAGCATCAGAATTCATGGAATCAGATATCACTTTCTTTTACATCATCATTTGCTGCTATTTGCTTTATAAATTTTTTCTTACAAACACTACATTATATGTATATGTATATGTATATTGATACATTAAAAAGTGTACAAAAAATATGTATATTATAAAGTTTTTAACGATACATAAATTTATATGTATGACAAGTTGCAATTTCAATAAGAATACTGTTTTATTTGTTATCAGAAATGTATTAAAACTTTAAAAATTTTATTTTACAATTTTTTTTTCTGAAAGTTCATAGGTATTAGTTCATGCATATCTTTTTCATAGTTTTTCATAGATATATATGTATACGATTTTAGAAACAGTTTTGATATATATAGTATATCTATTATATACGCGAGAGACAATTTTTAAAATAAAAATTATTATTTTAGATATATTATTACATTTGAGAAATTTTGTTTTATATTTTATGATTTAAAAAGACAGAGTATATATATATATATATCCATCCAATAAATCTTATCATGTATTAATTAGAAAAGATAAAGTATGTATATATCTTTAGTTATTTATCATAGGATGTATATATCTTTAAATATATACATACATTTTAAATATACGTGTAGTTTTGAAAAAATAAACTATATATACATAGATAGAAAATTACATTTCTTCGTATATTTTTGTGTAAAATTATTCTTTTTACATTTAACTTATTTTCTTAATTTTTACATTTAGCTCATTTTCTTAATTTCGTAATTTAAAAGAAACATCTATTTTTGTGGATGTATAGTGTTGAAATCAGCAAGTGCGTCGTAAGAAACTACAGTGGGCCGCACTCAGGCTTATCTCTGGTAATAATATTATTATGCGTCGATAACTTGCATAGTAGCGCAATCGCGTGACAATATAATACACTAAAGAGACCTCAAAACTAAGTAGATAAAAACGTTTATTTAAATAATATATTTATTTATTACTTTAGTGAAATGTTTTAAATTTTAAATATTAAGAAAAAATATAACAATTTTTTCTAGAAAATATTGTTTCAGTTTCACATTTGATAAAATAATTTACATACTTCTCAGTACAATTAATAAAAGTACAGTATATAAACAGTTAACAAAATAAAAATACAATTTCTATCTAGAATCAAGTTTTTTAATAATAATTAAGGAAAGTATAGACATTAACTTGAGCGCGTTCTAAACTATGAATCAAACTTTGCTTAAAAATGCAAAATAATTAAAAGTCAAACGTAAAGTTATAGATCGTGTCAAATACAATAGGATCGAAATATAAAATCAAGAGAATCCACGTTGAAGTTATTAAATTAAAATGTATATTGTCGTCTTTAAATAAAAAACAGTGAACGTGAAATCATGAAAAAAAAAACTTAAAATGCATCAGTGCAAAGAAATTATATAGGTTTTATGTCATTATATCGCTATTTTCTAATTTTTTCTAAAGACAAACATCGGCTGGATGAATCGCTAGACCGCAAAAATTAAAACGATACAAGATGGCATTGTCGCGAGAAAAAAAAAATGTGAGAAATAAGTTTTAATAAAAACCGTAAATGAGTTTGCACTAATAAACGATATTCTATCTTAATCATCTTTTTTTATATAACTGTTTTGTGTAAAAAAAAAAACTACATTTTACAATCCTATAACGTGAGAAAATTTTTAATCCCAAAATTAGAATATTCTCTTTTGTGGTCAATAATATATTTCAATATTATATTTTTAT